AAGAGAAACACTTTCTAGGGTGACAGTGGGGGCAGGTGAGCTTGGAGCTGGGCTTGCTGCAGGCAGGGAAAGCAGCAAGAAGAGGCAGCTCTTTGCAAGGCAGACACGATGTGCACATGAAGCTCCAGCTCCCCTGGGCTTCTTGTCTCACACACATTTAATAATGATTGCTGGGCTGTGTAATGAAGTGCTGTTTAATAGCAAATCGATCTGGCAACCTGTGAGGGCACAAACTGCTCGCTGCCAGTCCCAGTGACTGTCACACGCAGACCCAATGCACTGGCAGCATAGGGTCCTGAGGCCCTGCCTCAGCACCCCTCACCTCGGTAGCCAGCTGTCCCATATGAGCTCTACCCACACGTGCCACTAGTGCCAGTGGAGTCCCCATGTCCAGGCAGGAGACAAAAGACAGGCGATTTTCCCCCTTGTATCTAGAAGTGGTTTCCTGAGATTCGTGTGGCATTTACCATGCTTGGGGTGCCTAGTGACACTGTGATATCAAGTTTCTCGTGGCCTGAGACACCTTGGCACCCATGGCTGTAGTGTGCTTAGGGTGACGACCTTTGGAGAGGTAAGTCCCTGGCACAAAATTGAGCCTGGCACAGATAGAGCCTGTGCTCTAAGACAAGGACTTGCTGATGTTGGTTGGTAGCCCGGACCACATAGCAGCTTTTGTCTTCTCATCCTCTTGGTTCTTAAGCAATGGTGGGGGACAGGGGAGCCTGAACCCTTTGGCACAGGGCACAACGCTCAGGCCGTGCATGCTCATGCATGACACGTGCCAGTGGTCACATATGACTTGGATGCAGCTGAGCAGGGACAGGCCGTTCATGTTGATGTGCTCTCTGATGAACGGAGAAATGCACAACGGGACATGGGGACGTGAGTGGTGTGGCATTGGAACAGGCACACCGGCATCGGGGTCGCGCTGCCAGTGCACGAGGCCAGGTTCGCGCTGGCACAGCGGGTGCGCACACCGTGACCCGAGCATGCGGAGGATGTTACACGGGCGGGGGACCCGCCGGCCCGCCCGCACATGAGGACGGCACCCCGCTGTGAATGCGGCCGTTCCTCGTGTGCCGGTGCCACCGAGCGGGGCGGGGCGCGGCTGCATCCCGGCGGGTTTCCCATTGGCTGCCGTGGCTGTCAGCGGTGCGGAGTGACAGCCCCGGGCCGGGATTAGCGCGGCAGGGAGCGGCGGCTTGCGGCCGGTGACACCGTGCTGCACCGTACCGCACCGACCTGTATCGTACCGTACCGTACTGTACCGCGCCGCGCCCGACGGGGCGGGCCGGGCCGGGCCGAGCCGCGCCGGCAGCAGCGCGGAAGAGCGGCGCGGAGGATGCGGTGGCGGCGGCGGCACTGCCGGTGAGATGCGGGGAGCAGAGCGGGGCGGGGCGCGGCGGGGACCAGAGGCCGAAACGGAGTGTCGGGGGAGCGGGGAAAGTTGCAGCAGTTGTTGCAGGGAGCGGGGCGGCTGTGCGCCCCGGCGGGCGGCGGTACGGGGCTGCGGTGGCACCAGGCGGGGCCGACACCCGCTCCGGCCCCCGTGTGCCGGTGCGGCGGGAAGGGCGCGGGGCCGATGCCCAGGCAGGGAGATCGCGGCGGGCAGCTCCGCCGGCCCCCCTGGCCGGGGGTGCTCCCTCCTCATCCGGATGGATGTCACATCCACTCAGGGCTGATCCCGCCAAGACGGGAGGTGCCGGGTAAGGGAAGCCGGGCAGGGGGGGCCAGGGAGTGAAGAGCATGTTCAGCCTCAGCTCCAAGGTGGGGACACGTCCCCTGCCTGGACACCAAACCAGAAAGAGGTCACCTGTTTGCCCCACAGCCTCAGGGCCTCCAGACATCCCTCTTCGGCCACCACTTCATCCCCTCGAGCTGCTCTGTGTCCCTCCGGAGGGCAGTCATCTCCCACGGCCGTCCTGCCTTAGCCCTCTCAGGTAGCCCGGCAAGCCACAGCCTGGTTTCCCCCATTCCCTGCCACGGGTTCCGTGTCCAGCACTCAAATACGGCCCATCGTGTGAATTTAACCCTCATCCCTGCAACTCTTGCCTCTCTCCCGTCTCTATCCCGTTCTTTGCCCAATCTCTTCTCATCCTCCCCCAGCTCCTACGCCTTGTCCCCACACTCCCGTGGCGTGGGTGTGTGCTTCCCCCGCAGCGTAAGCAGTTCCTGCTGCCTTCGCTCCGCATCGCCCCATTCCGCCAGGAAAGCGCTTGCAAGGGGAGCAGCCATCCCCTGTTGCACTGGGTATGGTTCAAAGCACGCCCAGGAAGCATCCCTGGACATTCCTTTGGCCGTTAAGAAGGGACAGCCAGGAGGAACAAGTTTCCTGTGAGATGTTTTATTGAACAAATTTAATCCCCCAATGATGTGCAGCCCCTGGCTATCACACTGCAGCTCCTGAGTTTTTCTCTTTGAATGCATGCCCAAGGTTGCCCAGGCAGACACCCTTTGAGATTTTCTTTGCAGGACTTCTCCTGCCTTTAGGCAGCAGGACCAGCAAGGCTTTCTTCAGCCCACCGGTCCTTTACAGCCCAATCTATTCATCACAGTGATTTAAGGAGCATCCGTTTGATTCACAATTGAAATCAGCAAGCAGGAAAATGTAGCTCATTCCGTCACTGGTTTTTCATCTCAGTTGCACTTGTGCTTTTTACCTTTCATTATTAAAGAAAAGCTCACTCCATGATGTTGCCATCCAGCTTTGGTGGGTCAAAGGCAGGCACAGCCTTTACTCTAAATTTGATAAATCTGTTTTAATAACCAGGAGGACATTCTGCTTATCCCATTTATTCTAGTAATAACTCAAATGTTTTGAGATAGGCTGTTGTTTTGTAGATTTGTTATGTTACAGTGAAAGCAAACAATTCCTAGAGATAAGTTTTTTCCTTGGCATATGTGTCAGTCTGCATTGAGATAAAAAGTAGAATTTCATTTGAAATATATAATCCCTGCATCTTTATTATTTAGCAGTTAGCTTCAGCAACCTTGAATGTGCACACAACCATAACAAGAAAAAAATATTATAAAAGCAGTACATGATAAATTAATCAAGAGAATAAAATTTTTAGTGAGTGAATTAGAGATTGTTGTTGCTCAGCAGGACAGATTTTTTCAGCAGTGTGATAATGCAGATAAATGGGTGCCTACCCCACAGGTGTGGTTTGGGTTATTTCATTAATAGTTTTGTCTGTGCATCTCTGGAGCCAAAACACTTGAAAATTCAGCCCTATGTCCTTTAGGAATGTAATCCTGTCTGGTTTGCAGTCGGAAACTGGGAGAGGAAAATCATACGTTCCTGTTTGCAGCTGGCATATGGTTTCTCACTTTCAAATGATGAAAGTGAGGGACTCAGTATCTTGGCATCTGTCAGAAGGCACAAGCAGCCAAGGCAGACTATTCTCTGCACATTAGGAATTCAAAGAAATTCAGGGAAGGATAAGTACAAGTTTTAGCTCCACTGGGAGAAAGAAAAATGTCAGCAGCCCTGCCGGTAGGGTTGATAGGGGCTCTGGATCCTGCCTTTCCCTGCAGCCACCCACCTGCTGCTGTGGGATGCCTGGTTTCATCTCCCGGTATACAATCTCTAGACAGAGACAGGCAGACCAGTGAGCTGTGTGCAGGGCAGGCTTGCTGTGCTCCCCCAGGCTGGGATTGTCTGTTACCACCGCTTTTTGAATGTACTAGTGTTGACAGCTCTGTCTGTGCCATCAGTAGTGGCTGCGACATGTGCTGGTGTGACACAGTTTAAATCCAGGCTGACCTCCAAAGAGAGAAGCTCCTTGCCCTTGCTGCTCATATTAAACTCCTTGGGCAAGTATAATTGGAGGATGTCTCAGCGATACAGTAGATACTTTTTTCCCCCCTTACTTTAGTAAGCTGTAGGCTGTGGGTAGTAAATATATTCAGCCTAAAGCAGAATGAATGAAACCTATTTTATAGCGCATTCTCTCACCGTGCCTGGGGTGCTGAACTGTGGGGAAAGTGCCTGAGCATCCTGGCACCCTGGGGAGAAAGCAAACACTCTGGGTGCCTTGGGACCAAGCAAAGGGCTGCCAGCATCCCTGCAGTGGTGCTGGTGTGATGCCCTTGATGAACCTTGCCTGCTTCTTGCAGCAGGAGGGGATTTGCTGGGGGTTGTCTCACCTGGAGCATACCTTTCTTCTGCCATGCCCCAGACTCTTTTCTGTCCCTTCCCTTCCCTAACCAACTCCTTGCCCTTGTTTCAGGGCTGCCTGAGGATGCATCGCCTCTTGTCTCAAACATCTCAGGGGTGCTGGGATCCTGCCTTGCTGTGCCTGTGCCACCCCGCTGGGCTCCGGACCTGACACCTCTGTGCCCTGTTCTGGCAGGATGGCCCAAGCAGGGGCACCTGTCCGCTTCCACCCCGAGGAGGGCTGCACTGCCTCTCCCCCGCCCTTTGCCCACAGGGTGAACCGGAGGCCCTGGCTGGCGGGGGGCAGCCCCGAGGCTGGGCGGTGCAGCCCCCCGCCCTGCCTCACCCCCAACCTCAACGCCGGCCGCCTCCACCTGCTGCGCAAGGGCCTGGCGCCCGATGCCCGCCGCTGCCCCCTCGGCCTCTACAACAGCACCGGCTCCTTGGCCCGCAGGCCAGCGGAGGCAGCGTCCTTTGGCAGCGGGAGCTGCCCAGGCACCGGGCGGCTGACTGCGCCCTGCACCCCGCGCTGGGGCCGGCCCAGCCCAGCCGTCGCCTCTCTGGGCAGCCGCAGCCCGCCAGCCCCAGAGGGACACAGCTCTGTGGTCACCTTCCGCTTCATTGAGAAGGCCAGCGTGCGGACGCTGGGCTGCCCGACAACCCCCCATCTCCGCTGGGAGAATGGCCCCTACAGCCTCAGCCGCAGTCTGGAGCTTGGTGGGGACGTGGGGTCCCCCCAGCCCCAGCCCCTGCCTCAGGAGCGGCTCCTGCACACGCTGAAGCTGGAGGCTTCCGCCTCTGACCCACTGCTGGCCGGGGGCAGGACCGCAGCGGGGACACGTCCCTGTGGAAAGGAGCTCTGTGCCCTCGACACCAGCTGCCTCTGCCGATCCCTAACCAACGGGCTGCCAGAGGAATTCCCCACCTTCGCCAGGAGTCCCCTGAAGCCAGAGTCCCGACAGCAGGTAGGTACCAGGGTCTCCCACACTGGGCGTGGGCTCTGCCCTGGGAACGCATTGCCCACTCATTGCTCTCCTCTCTGCAGGGCGGCACCGGGCTGTATCCCCGGCAGAGCTCCGCCCATGCCCAGCGCATTGCCAAGGCCAAGTGGGAATTCTTCTATGGCTCCTCAGATACCCCAAAGACAGGTAAGAAGTTGCAGGTGGATGCCATCGGGTTGGCCCACCCCTCCTTTTAAGTCTGTTTTGTTAGCAGGACTTGCATTGGGGCTGCACATCCCTTGGGTCATCTCAGTGCCCAACAAAGAGCTGAGATTCCCCCAAGACTGACCAGCCTATGTCCTCCCGGGGTCAGATGATGTGTGTACCAACCTCTGTGCAAAGTCCCCTGTGGCCATGCGAAAGAGGTGACAAAGAGTCCCTGGCTGTCTCTGCAGAAGAGCTTTTGGTTTTAGATGGGGTCTCAGGGCTGGCTGGAGATGCACTAGCACTGACAGCCTGTCTCTGCCTCTCATACTTTTTCTCCTCCTGCCACCTCTTCACTGTTCCCCTGTGTCCCTCAACAAAGTAGAGTCACTGATCCTGGAGATGTTCAAGAAGCAACTAGAATGGCACTTAGTGCTATGGTTTTGTTGACATGGTGGTGTTTGGTCAAAGGTTGGACTTGACGATCTTGGAGGTCTTTTCCACACTTAATGATTCCGTGACGTGTGACCACACTCTCGGGGTGTGTGTGTGTGTGTGATGCTGCTGCAGGAGCGGCTCCTCAGAGCTCCCCATTGCAGCTCCCCATAGCTCTGATCACTTGGGCCTTCCTTGCAGGTTCCTCTGCCCCTGACTCCACTCCCCTGGCTGAGCTCCCCCAGAAGTCTGTCTCCCCACTGCCAGCCGAGCCACCAGGGTTGGTACCCGAGCACAGCCTGAGCCATGTGGAGGTGGAGATAGAAGTGTCTCCTTTGGGCAGCCAGAAGCCTGGCTCCTGTGAAACCGGGATTATAAGGAGGACAGTGAAGTACTCTGAGACAGACCTGGACACTGTGCCACTGAGGTGCTATCGTGAAACCAACATCGATGATATCCTGGCTGAGAAGGAGGAGGTGGATTCAGCAATTGAGAGCCAGAAGGACAGTGAGAGCAACCCAAGTTTTGTGGGCACGCCAGGCAGGCGGAACAGCACACCAGAGGAGCCACCCGCCCCAGGCACCGGCTGCTCCAAGGATGGGCTGCAGGACAGGGATGTGGACGAGGATGACGAAGTGTTTGAGTCGATGAGGAAGGAAAACAGGGAAAGGTGAGCCTCCGTGTGTAAGGGCAAAAAGCTCCTCTTACCTTCCTTATTGTATTTGCATGGCAAAACAAGCTCTGCTGAGGTGTCTGAGCCAAAAACCCCAGTAGCAGCATGCAAGCTGTGTGTGGGGGTGAGATGAGGGCCTGGGTATCACCGCAGGGTTTGGTACTGGGGCTAGGAGCAGGACTGGGAGAGCACCCTCACTGCCCTATGGAAAGACTAAGCCAACACAGGGGATCCAGTGCTGGGTGCTGTGCCATGGGCCTCACTCGCCTGGGGTGAGCCCTGCAGCTCAGGTTGCCCAGCTGAGTCGAGGCTTCCCAGCATGAGTCCTGCCAGGTCAATTACATCCTGCCACGGTGCTGCCAGGTGTTGGGTGACAGTGTCAGGACACCAGAGCACAGGTCATGTCCTGGAGCTAGTCTGGCCTGCCAGGTGCTGCTAGGCTGTCCTTTTCCCCACAGATGACTGTTTCAGCAGTGAGAGCAGTTCCATTTGCTCAGCCTCATTAGGTATTTGCCATGTTCGGGAAAGTGTAGGGGATATGTTGGGATCAAAAAAGCATTTTGTTGCCTTCTGTGTCATTTTTCACCTATGTGGAAAAACACCCTGTTCTGGGAGGCTGATGGAGAGCATGGCACCAAGATTATCGTTCAGTTGCCTACCCATGGGCAGCAAGTGTGCTCCCAGCTGCTATCTGCCCCATGGCAATTAGCACATATGGGAGATGGCATTTTGGCTTGGCAGCATGAAACTCTACCCATGGAGTTTCTGCTGGAGTGGTAGTATGACCATGAGGAGTGAAGGACATCATCAAGTCCAGAGCACTGTGTGGGACCTAGAGGGGAAAGGCCCTGTGCAGGCATGTTCTGACATGTGTTTTGTCAAAAGTCTTGAGTGAGGTGAGGAGGTTCAGCATCATCAGCAAATGCTCCACAGGAATAGGGATAGGTCTCATCTGGGAAGCGAAAACCAGGGTGATGCCTGGGATGCCATGTGGTAGCATGAACTCACCTAGCTGTGCAGAAGGTAGGTAGGGGGAGCATTTAGGTGGAAGAAAAGGAAAAGGGAGGTTTTGATATCAGCAGAAGTTAATGAAATACACACATTAATAACGCATTAATACAGTACCGCCCCTGCACTGGGAAGGAAAAGAATGAAGGTGCTGAGACAACAAGGAGGGAAGGTGTACATCTCAATGGGAGCTGAATTCCTGTCAGTTTGTCCAGCCCTTGCATCTCTATTGGAGGGGACAAATATGTGCCAGCCACCCTGTCCTCAAAAATTTGGGTTCTAGGGAAAAGCTGAAAATAAGCCATTTGTTATGTGGGGTTTTTTTTCCAAATGAATGTTTGAGTATGGTGTAAGTTATTGCCAGTTCTTCAATTTGCTGTAACAATTTTTTTGCATAGTGTTATTTTGTTTCCAAGTATCTTTGAGGCCGCAGTGAGTTGTATGAGCTGTAAGCCTAGACTTGTTTTTTGTCCTCTGAGGCACCCTACTGTAGCTCCCCAGCCAGTGCTGAAAGCCTGGATGTGTCCTTAAGCAACCACTGTTGCTCCTAAAAGATGGTGCTCCCAGTATAATTACCAATGTGTGTATGGAGGCGTCGTGTTCATTTGGCACGGCTTCTTTGTAGACCGGTTGTTTTTTTCCCCTGCAGCCCCCTGAATATTCCCCTGGTGAGTGCAGACCCTGTAGACAGTGCCTTGAAAAATCACAAGGCTCAAATTGCAAGCTTGTTCAGTCCTTGCATCACAGCCCTGAGATTTTGCTTACACACTGTTTTGAGCTCCGCAGCTGCAGTCCTTATCCCTGTTTACCAGTCACCACTACTGATATTTTCTTCTTCAAGCTTTCTGCTTTGCCTGCTCATAGGAGGGGCGAAGCTGTGGGGATGAAGAAGCCACCCTGGCTTCCTGGACCTGGCACCATTCTGCTGCTCTTGGAGCTGCTGAACCCCACGCCTGTCCTGGTTGCTGGGAAGGACCAGCCCTACAAAACCACTGAAGTGATTTTTGATGCTGATTTTCAGCTGTTAGACATGTACATCCCTTTGAAAATCTAGCTGTAAGGGTTTATCACCCTCTGCAAGGGTGACTTTGACTTTGACCTTGTTGTGCTTCATATTCTGGCCAAAGTTGAGACACTTCTTTTGTGATTTACCCTCCCAAAATAAGACAGCATGCTAACAGCAAAAAAAACCCGACACTAAATCAAACAAGACATGAAAAGCAACAGAAGAAATATTGTCTTCTTCCAGTAAATCTGCTTCCTGAATATATTCAAAGTTATATTTACTGACTCTAATGACTGGTTTAAGCCTTTACTGTCTTATTCCTATTAGTCCCAGAGAACCGAGACCTGTCAGCGAGAGCAGGCTCAATTCCCTTCCTCCCTGAGCATCAGCAGACATGCTGGCTAAGCTATAGGAAGAGCCTGGTTTGGCCCTCAGCATGGGTGCCTTGGGCTGATAAGAGAGAAGAGGCTTTGCTAGAGAATGCTCTGCTCCCCCGAGAGCACAGAGGGCTGATGGGAGGCAGTGATGCCTTTTCTCCCTGCAAGCCTTGCCTAGAGAAGCCCGTAGATCTGCTACTTGGGAAGCCTTTCCAGAGCCTTTGTGCTTGCTGCTTGTTGGCAAGAAAATAGCTACAGGGCAAGCCTTGTTGGGGATTAGAAAAATGGTTATAGTCTCAATTTCATCAAAAGCTTGAGCATGTGCTTAACCTGCATTAAGCCTCTGATTTGTTGTCTCAAAGCCCAAAGTGGCCATAGAGCCACAGCTTGGGGTGATGCTTCTGGATGGAGCACCAGGGTCAGGCTGCAGAGGGGATGCTTGGGGTGATGCTGGCAGGGGCCTGTCCATGAGCAGGGGACGTGCCTGCAGCTTTTGTGGGTGGGCAGGGGACGGCATGATGGCGTTGATGTGGCAGGGGAGACTGCAGTGCCTGTAGTCAGTACCTGTGCCTAAGCATGGGACAGAGTGAGGACACTGAGCCCTGAGAGCAGGCTGCTGCCTGCTGGAGGAGTAGTGCAAAGGAGCCTGAGGGGACTGCAAGCAGCTGCTGAGACAGGTCTGTAAAAAGAGCTTTGTTGAGAGAGGAATAAAGCTAGGGGCTGCTGGACAGTGCTGAACAATCTCACTTTCTCTGAAATTAGCTGGGATCCTCAAACAGCAGCTGCTATGCCTGTGCAGGCTGGAGGAGCCTGGAGCTGAAGGAGTGGGGCATGGCTGAGTCAGGGGTCTGGAGGGTCACAGGAGCATTTAGCAGAGAATTAAAACCACTGAGGTCCAGAGGAGAGATTTTCTCCTCTTCTTCCCCCCTGCCAGGGATGCCCCTGCCGTGTCTCTGCAGCACCATGTCTCTGCACGCAGGGAGAGTGGGACGAGCCCCTGCCCCTCCATCAGCCATCAGATGCATCAGAAACCCAATTGCTCAGATCTCATACCCAAAGCCTTGCCTGAGGCACTCTTGGCTCCTGGATCCACTTCCCTTCCATGTCTGCCTGGCCCTCTCCTAAGAAAGGCTCACTGTCTCTCCTGCTCTGACTCAAGGCAGGAAACCTATTTGCTTTCCTGCTGCCTGTCACCCTTGCACAGATTCTTGATTACAGCTTCTGCATCTCCTTCTCTCCTCTGCTCCTCTCAGCTGGGTTTGTCTGGTGTGGTCTCAGTGTAGTTGACCCTTCCTGGGGGAGCAGGGCAGAGCAGGGAGGAGCTGGGCAGTGCAGCAGGGGCTAATGAAGCATCTGGGTCTGAGCAGGCAGTACTGCTCCCATGCTGCTGCGACTGCATCCTTCTGGAACTGAATGGCTTCATGCTTGATATTTTGGGGTGAAGACATTGTTTTCAGGGCTTGAATGATGTGGACAAAACCAGCCATCTTTTTTTTGGGGGGGGCTTGGTGGCAATATACTTGATCACAAAAATGAGCCCACCTACCTCTCCTAGAAACAAGATTCCTTCCAATCTGCTGGCATTGTCTTCCCTGGCACAGTTTTTGCCCTCCTCATGGATTCAAGGTGCAAAATGGTCAGCAGCATTAGCTTGGTTTAGTAGCGTGGGGCTGGGCAGAAAGGATGGAGAATGCACATTTGCATCTGTAAAGCACATCTGCAGATATTAAAGAGGTCTCTTCTGTCTTGTCCTCACCAAAAGCCATTTCAGCAGTGGCTGCTCCTGGGGCTCCTACAGAAATCGTAAGAGTGTCACATGGTGCTGCACAGTGAGGGAAACACTGGTGGATGGGTGAGATCAGCCTGCATCCTGCCTTACTTACCTGTGTCTGGCTTCACTGCACTCCCCTTGAAACCAGCTGGCACTCTGGGGGAGTCAAGAAGCCAGCTCTTGGCCTGCTGAAGTAATTGGGATGAGATTTTTGAGTGGCATGTGAAGGCTAATGAATGAAAATAATTTGGTGTGTGGTACAGCAACACATCTTCTGAGCCCTCTGTAGGAAGCTGTTTGTTCATAACAAATGTTATGACAGGCTGAAGCAGTTCTTCTCCTTTAATCAGAAGAGAGAGTGGCATAACAAGTGCTTTTCTGCTGCTTTAATAAAATGATAGCAGCTTATGAGTAAAATAGGCTTTTAGGGCTGTGTTTGTGCTTGTACTGCTGAAGCACTGATGTTCCCTGGGTTGGAAACATCCATGTTGTCACATGCTTAGGTTGGTGGGCAGGCTGTACTTCACCTCATTTACAGGACAAAACAGTCATGGCTTCAGGGTTTAGAAACTTCTGTGTTGGGCTGGACCCAGACCACCACTGGAGACAGGCTGGGCCTTTCTGTGGGGCTGATCCCTGACAAAATGATGAGCTAGGACCAATCATGGCCTCTAGGGCATGGGCCAGCTCATTTCTCCAAGCCCAGAGATGGGCGTGAGACTCCCTCTGTGCTGCCTGGGGAAACTTGGAGCTCAGTTATCACTTTGTGCTCAGCCACACATGTCTCCTGGGACTCAGCATCACCTTGTGGAAACAGCCAGAAGACCTTGCAGGTGAGTGTTGGTCATGATCTGAGCATAGTACTCAGTGACCACAGTGACCACAGTGCAGTGTTCTTGGAGGAAGGGGTCATGCTGTCCTGAGCAGCTTCAGGAGGAGCCTTCTTGATGATAGAAGGCTCATGAAAAATTCAGCCACTTCCAGATTTGGTTGGAAATGGAGCTGAACCACATCCCGTTTCTAGTACTTGAGCCCTTTATTGGATCTAAGCTCAAGTCAAGTGATTGGGAGCAGTAGCCATCTCATAAGCTTCTTATGAGGATGAGCCACTAAAGGAACAAAAGTCTGTGGCGCATTAAAGGAGAAGCATATGTCTGGAGGGAGGCCAGCTGAGTCCTGCTTCCCATGGTGTCTTGGGCAGGCAAGGCATTTCCTTGGTGGCCTACAGATGTTCAGAAGAAACTTCTACCCTTCTCAGTTTCCTTCTGAAACAGTGTGTGGGCTTTTGTTTTGGGTTTTTGATCCCTTGCTCTTCAGTGATCAGTTCTTCTCACTTTCTTTCCCTCTAGGATCATGGACCGAGACACACAGAGTATGCTCAAGTCTCCAGTGCCCTTCCTTCTAGGCCACAGCCTCTCCAAGGATGGCATGGACTCTTTCAGCAAGCATTTTGAGACCATCATGGAGTCCCATCGAGCCAAAGGCACATCTTACACCAGCCTGGACTCCATTGACATCCTTTCTTCCCCAGCCCGTACCCATGGGACTTTTTTCACTTTTGACCTCCCAACCCTCACCCCAGAGATACAGGGGAAAATCCGAGACAGCGCCAAGGTTATCGAGGAGAACTTTGCTCCTCTGGCTCACTTAGAGCCAGACTCTGGGACCAGTTCAGCCACAGATGCCCCCTGGACAGAGAGGGAGGAAGAACAGAGGAGACGAAAGAAGGGCACTCGGCACAGCCCCTGCCACTCAGAGGACAGCTTTGGCACTCCCTTGGCCTCCAATACAAGGTGAGTGACCAAAGTTGCTTGCTGTCCAGCTGGGCAACTGAGACTTGATGTGGAGTCTAATGCTGTGAGGTCTGGTTTTCAGACAGAGCCTAACTTGTGTTGCTGGGGAAGGGTCAGGACTGAGTGTGCTAGATTTTCTAGGCAGTGGCTCATCAGGCCAGTGATCACCATGGTATTGTGGTAGGTGTGTTGATGGGAGCATAACTCCTTTTTCATCTTTGCCAGCTTTGTAGGTACTGGAGGACTGTGAGGTTTCCTTCAGCCAAGCAAGCAGGGAATGCCAGAACTTCAGTCCTGTGGTGATTTTCATTGCAAGGCAGTCCAGCATCTGTGATGGTATGGGGAGAGACCAGTCTGAAGTTGACTACCAGTAGAAATTTGACAACATTTCCCTACTGGGGATTCTGTTCCTTGCCATCTGCACAGCAGTCATTGTGTCTTAAAGATAGGAGTCCCATGGTCTTGTTCTGGCTTCCTGGACCTCCTCAACCTTCTTCATGTTGGAAGATGGAGGGCAGAAATGAGCATCCTGAAACCCTCATCCACTTTCCAGGCTTTGGTCTTTTCCACACCAAATCACAGTCTGTGCCATCTTTGTAGGCTCGGCTTGGGGATGGCCAGGAGGAGATCTAAGCTCTGTGTCTGCAGTCAAGAGAGGAGAGTGGGATATTGCATCAGGTCTGTGGCCCTTGGGTCAGTCCAAGGGCCTTTTGGGGCAGAGAGGAGCTGGTTTAGGCCTTCCCTTTCTTTGGGACACTGAATCTGGAGACATGGTAGCACAGAGGCCTGACAAGATTTGTGCAGTAAAACTGGTCATGTCTGGGAGGCACATGGCAGTGAAGGGTGACAGTATCCAGCCACGTTCAGTGCTCTCTGCAGGAAGAATTGGCTTTCTATTCCTGTACTAAGGCAAGGGACTGAAACACAGCGCCCTGGAGAAACCAAAAGGACAGTATCTGACTAACCATCCATGGGATGCCATTGTACCACAGCACATCAATGCAGGGCACAGGGTGTGAGAGTGCAGAGACACAGCTGGCAGCAGGAGCAGCAATGAGGTGGCTTAACAGAGATTATTCCTCACTGGTTTATAGTCAGTGGAGCACAGAGCATGCTGGCAGTGCCGAGGACACTGCAGCGCTGTTCTCCCCTCCTAACTCAGGTTTCAGAGCAGTGCTGGCCTGCAACACAGGGCACGGAGGGATGTTGTCTATCCCCCAAACTGCCCTAGATCTTTGCTGAGCCCCTTTGCCGAGCATCTTGTCATCTCCTCTTCCAGCAGGAGAGGCAGGTGGTTGGAATCTGCCATCTGGTGCAGTGGAAAGGAGTGGAGATTGTGGCTGGGAGCAGGAACTAGGTTGGGAAGCAGGGAAGGCATGTGGCACCAGGGTCTGAGATAGCCCATCATCTGCAGGATGAGTCTTCAGGAGACAGGGGTTTCTGACAAGGGAGAGATCCAAGAAGTTTCCTCTTCCTCATTACTTGTGCTACCAACTTTCTAGACTCTCAGTGGAGCTGATCAAGAAGCTAAAGATTCCCAAGTAGTTTGAGGAAGAAGTGGCTGGGCTGATTGCTCAAAGGTTCTCATGAACTGGAACCAGCAGATGCCTGGCAGGACTGATCTGATCAAGCAGAGCTTATCCTTGTAATTCTACCACTAAGGGGTATTCAGTGGAAATTGATGAGGAAAGGAGCTAAGGAACCTCTGCAGTCTCTACAGCACATCAACACTTGTGCCAGCAGGGCCAGAGCAAGGCATTCGCCACTGTCCATGGTCACTAGCAGTACAAATTGACTGCCACCAGCACAGGTAGACTGGGGACCCCAGGTGGAGGGGGACTCTGCAGTGGAGACTATGCTTTACACTGTCTGTCAGTGTCAGGGTTGGCAGAGGTGACCCCAGGCTGCAGGGCTTTGGTGTGACTGGTGATGAACACCAGTGGGTCTAGGCCTGCATACGCTGCCCTGTGGCTGTCCTCCTTGTGTCCCCAAAACCTTTGCTGCTAATTGTTGCAATAGTTGGAGTTGGGATCTGGGTTGGAGACAGCCTTGCAGGCTGTGATTTCCTGCCTCCCTCAGTGGCAGGAATGGCAAATCAGTGATGCTCCTGCATTGCTGGGGAGATGCAGTGTCCCCCACAGGCAGTGGCCTTGGGTCATGCAACCTTGTTGCATACTCCAAGGCTCTAGTGTACCTCAGCACATAATAGTTAAGACCATACTTTTATCTCGACCTTGCATGTGGGAAGTGCAGACCTACAAAGGCCTTCCCTGGGATGCCTGCACCTAATCCAGCAGGCTTGGTTGAAAGGGGCAGAGCAGAGACTGACAGTGGGACACCCCACATCCCCAGCATAGGCTCTGTGAGTAGGTTATCACCCGATTTGGGCAGGAGGTGAAAGTGTGCAGGTCCCTTGCTCTCACTGGCAGAGAGCTGCAGGTTGTCCCTGTAGCTGTGACAGATCTCTGCAGAGCATGTGTGGAGGCAGAGCCCCCCAGGGCTAGGGAGTCCTTCTGGACCCAGGGAGGCCAGCCAGGGACAGATGCAGTGCTGGCAAGATGGTGGGGCAGGAGCTGGGGCAGCCCTGCTGGGAGATTGCTTCAGTGGCGACAGCCAGACTTCTGCAAACAGGTCCAAACTGCAGGACTTGGCTTGGGCTCCCTCAGCTTGCTGCTGGGTGCGAACAGGTGTCCAGACGGTCACTGCTTGCCCAGTCCTGTACAGGTAGGCACTGTGAGCTGTGGGGCATCAGTCCCGGAGGAATGTAAATGGCCAACCTGCAGCTCTCTGGGGGTGCAAGCCCCCTTGAAATCCAGCTCTCCAACTTCCCTGTAATCCCACTCTTCTGGATTGGCCCCAGGCACAGTCGTGCCGGTCCCTGAGGTTTGTCCGCGGAGGGAAGAAACGTGACTCGCCCCTCAAGCGAGGCAGGTTCTGCTGGGATCTCACCGGGGCTTGCCTGCGGTGGCACAGAAAGAAGGGTAGGCGGGAGAAGCGACATCAAAGGGCTGCAAACCTCATGGTGAAAAGGGCCAGACACCAGGGCGAGGGCAGCACGCCTGGAGCCTCGCTAGAGGGAGAGCTCAGCCCTGGAGCTGCGGCTGTGTGGGAGGAGCGGGGAGCCCGTGGGGCTGGCAGCCGCCCGGGCGGAGGATGCGCCGGGAGTCGGAGCTGCGTCCCTGCCAGAGCGCGGCTGCTGGCGTGTGCCGGAGCACGGGCTCGCCAGCCTGCTCCGCTGCCTTTCTTTATAAGGCTCCTTTTGTTGCTGCAGCTCTCGGGGAGCCGGTGCCCCTCCCCTCCCAGGGCCAGCGCAGGTCTCCCAGCTGGCCTGAGCTCCCAGGTAGCACTGGGCAAACTGGTGAGGATGCCTTGAAGGGCTGTACCCAGTCTGGGGCCCCGTGGTGTGGATTCGGGGTGTGATGCAGGAGGCTGAGGCTGAGAGTTGAGCAGAGGAAGGTGGCCATTGAGGAAAGGATGAAGACAGGGGAAGGGAGGTATGGGGTGGGCTGGAGTGATAGCACAGCAGGGAGACAAGGCTAGGGTGCAGGGTGAAGAGGTCTCCCCACAAGCATTGCCACAAGCATTGGCACAGCAAGAAATAAAGAACAAGCCTGGGGGGAATTTTCCCCTGTGCAAGCCGTGTGAAGCCATGAAGAGCAGCAGGAGCCAGGACACAGAACACATCAGCCCACTACGGCATAAAGGACAGTGGATCCCAGGGATGGCAGGTCTGCCTGCAGAGGTGTGAGCAGAATACCTGTGGGATGCAGCCCCATGTGTCAGGCATTAATTCCAGCTCTCCGATCTGACTCAGAACCCCTGGGCTGGTCTTGGCCCAAGGGTCCAAGACACACAGGTTTTCCTGTGCTGACCCTATGGCATCTGTGTCTCTGGAGGAGATCACCCTCCATCCAGCAGGTGAGTAACTCGATATTTAAGGCTCTCGGCTGGCACCAGAAATTGTTTGGTGGGATTGTAGTGTCAGTCCCTGTCCTCTGCAGGAGCAGTTGTGTCCCTCACAAGAAGGGCTTGTGAGATGGGGTGATGAAGGACAAATAGACATCTCTGGAGAATGCTGGTGCTGCAGGGGAGGTTCTGGAAGTCTGCAAAGAAGCAAGACTGAGGAGGGGCAGAGCTGCCCAAAGTTCAGTCCTATCTGGATGTGCAGTAACAGGGGTGGGTGCTGCTGTGGCTGGGTGATTGTTGGACTCCAGAGCTGCCAGACAGCACAACCAGCCGTGCCTGTGGTTGGAGGCTGGTCTAGCTGACCTTCAAGTGTCCTCCCAGTCCTAACTTCAATTCTGTGAGGAATGAACCGGCCCAGATTTTTGCTGTCATAAATCAAAGTCGCTCCACTGAGACCGGTGGAGGGAGCTGCGTTTATTTAGCTCAGCCAAAGATCCGGTCTGGTACATTCTTAGCAGCAACATTAGGCAGGCTTGGTTTGCTTGGCAGAGGCAATGAGCATCTAGCTATGCATGTGGGCCTTTCAGAATTGAGGGGAGACTGCTATTTTGCCCCATGCACCTGTCCTTTGTGGATTTGCACCAGGCTCTTTGCCGTGTCCCTTCATGGTGTAGGATGAAACCAGCCTCGTGTGGGGAGCAAGAGGTACTTGAATTGTGTTTAAAGGTCTGGAGTTTTCAGCAGCAAGTGTCTTGCCTGAAACTGTGTCAGGATGGACCAGGACAGCCCAGGAACTCAGCTGAGCACACAACCCAGCTCCTGGGGAACAGGTTGTTGCTGGAGGAAGGGTCCCACCATGCAGATACGTCTCTGCTGGCATCTGGGAGGTGGAGGTCAGCCCCTTGGACCTGGCTTTGCAGAACTAGTGCCTTCTTGCTGCTCCACACCCAGGAGAGAAGATTTGCTCCTGGCTGCTGGAAAACTGAGTGAATGTGGTGCCAAGTAAGCTTGGTTGATGGTGGCAAGGTGGAGAGGATGTCAGGGCTCCTGCAGTGACACACTGCATTGCAGCTAGGGAAGGTGCTGTGGTCTCTGCTTCCGGGCTCCAGGCAGTCAGCTAGAGGAGGAATATTGAGGTGAGATGATGATCCAGCTCCAGGAAAGGAGTGTTTGGCCCTGAGAAGGAATATTTGGGCCCTGGAGAACGATCTGACCTGGAAGAAGCAGTGCGTTTGTTATAGTGGTCCTGAGCAGGTCTGTGATTGTGCAGCGGCTTTCCAGGACAGGAAGCACAATAAGTCTGAGCTGGGGTGGGAAGTGGTCAGTGAAGAGCCTCTGTCCCAGGGTGAGCCCTGAGCCCTGTGCTGGATGGCGTGCCTTCCTTGCAGAGACCCCTAGACGTGCCTCACTGCAGCACACTGGGCTCTAGCAAACACCTTGGAGGTGACAGGGAGACCTGTGCTCCCAGTGACGTGAGTGGTGGCAGCAGGGAGGGGGATGAGCTAGCACTGTGTCTGCCCAGGAATAATTTTATTCATGCACACAGAGGATACTTGCACAATCTCAAATTTGATCTTTATTCCTTAAGTGTGTAGTTAATGTAAAAAATATTATCTCAGTGTTTCTTCAAGCCAAACTAAAATGTCACTTTACTAAATACACCAAAAAACCTTTACCCTGAGACCTGCAATTAGCTCATTGGCAAGAAAATTAGCATAACCTCAATTACCTCAGACATGGACACGTCTCTTGCTCTGCTCTCTATTTACTTGAGAGTTGGGCTCTTGTTTTTCTGTCTTTAAAGCTGCATGTTCTCCAAGCCAACTGGGGCTTTGAGTGGTGGCAGATAGCTACCACAAAGGGGGCATACTGAGCCTACAGAAGCTGACTGTCCGTATTTAACTGCATGAGAGTGGCTTGAGTGCTAGGAAAAAAGCCATTTCATGGCATGGTTGAATAGTGCCTCATCCTGAGAGCAAGGTTATGCTTTGCTATAAAACACCAAATCAATTCTGGGACTTGGTGAGGGAGGGAGCCACTAATTCCACTGGTAGAGCTACTTTGAGACTCAAGGTTTGAGATCCCTGCATGCCCACTGCAAGAAGCAAGGCAGGAATTGTAGTCACAGGTTGGGACCCTGCAGGGAGATAGAGGTACTGAAGGACAAGAGAGATTTTTTTAAACGGCCCCATGCCTGGATGCTCATCAGCACTAGGTAGGAAAGTTGAGGACCATGGATTAGGAAGAGAGGCATGGGATAAGATTTGGGGCTCTAGGTTTGTCCCTGGACGTTCCAGGAACTGGCCACGTGAGGGAGGACAACCTCTCAAGCAGGATAAATGAGGTCCAGAGGATATCAGGAGTTTTAGAGGTGGTGCAGAGAAGAATTAAAAGATTTTGAGAGGCGGACTGAGCATCAGCTTGCTCTGGAGATGCAGTTGGAGCATGGGGAGTGTTGGAGGAGTGGCTTTGCATTTTGTAACTCTGCCTGTGGCTGGAGACCCACCCTTGGAACTGCTGGGCTGCAAAGGGGACAGTGCCTGTGCCCTTGTGATAACAGATAAGGATTTTAGCAAAAAAATGCAGTCACCACAACCCATGGCTGGCAAGTGCCAGCTGCTAGGATGGATTAATCTCGTCTGCCTCTGGGAATCAAAGAGCCTGTGACCTCTGTCCTTGGTTGAGGTCACAGTGACTGCAGCCACACATGGAGCTGAAGTGGGGCCCAGGTGTGTGCCCAGCACTGGCCCAGCAGCACTCAGCCTGCTCTGCTGTTGGGCACCCCTGAGAGCAGCTTTGACCCTGCCAGACAGTGGAGGCACAGCCAGGCACCAGGGCCCATGCCAGCAGCACCTTTGGGTGTGGATGTTTTGGGAGGAGAAGAGATTTTAGGCAGGTGGGAGATTTGCCCACAGGATGAGGTGTGCTCATGATTTGGACAGTGATGCTGGAAGCTGCCTGCCCAGCTGCCCAGAGCTGGTGGAGTCACACCTGGTGAGCTCACGGTGACCTTGCAACCACTCCTGTGGCTGCTTCCACAGGGTGCATTGGAGTGATGGATAGTCTCCCTGGAGAGGACTGGAGCCAAGTGGGCACAGATCTGCCTTGGCCACCCATCCAGGTCTTACCTCAGTCACCTCCTGTCACCACTGAGTTCAGCAGTGGTCTGAGAAAAACACATCTCTCCAAGGACTTGCAGAGTGTTGGAGTTGCTTTCACCAGGGAAGTGTCTGACCCACAGGTTTGAGTGCAAAGCAGCTTCTACTGCTGCATGCTGGCTGAGGGAGACAGAAGGATAGCACCTGAGAGCCCCCCCAGGCATGAGGCAGCCTGTCAGTGTTGTGCAGGGCTCCCCTGGCACAGGCACCACTGAGCAGGAGGAGGCTCGTCCTTTTTGAAAAAAGCAGAGTCTCAAGGAGATTGGCCTGGGTAATTGGCTCAGGAGAGCAGGCCTCTTAAAACTCAATTAGAGACTTTTAAAAATAAATCAGACTGGAACATTGTAAGGGCTGCCAGAAAATTTGGGCGAGGTCAGAGTTGCTTAACATTTGTTGTTGATTAGATTCAACCAGCTTTTGGTTGGGATAACTTCTGCACAGCTGAGTCAGATTGCTTCGGGGGCCAAGCCAAGAGTGTCTCCTAACATGGCCATTTAAGGCGTGGTGGGCTGAGAGCTGATGGGCAGCCTGGAGAAGACTGCACTCCACTGTGAGCTAGGAAGCCAGGGGCGTTTTCCTTCGTCCTCACATCCTCTGCCTCAGCTTTACTGTCTGTATAGTGCTTTGTAGTCACTGGGTGGGCAAAGGTGAACAAAGGAATTGTCTTGGGTAGAAACTGCACTTGAGACCAGCACAAGTTGTTTGTCCAGATTAAAAAATGGGTACGGAGCTGTAGGACAGCATGTGATGTGCACAAGTCTCTGCTACAGCTGAGCTTGGCAGAGCCTAAGCCCACACATGCAGTTTCACAGGTTCAAAGTGGGGGACTTTGGAGTAGTTGTCCTTTCCTTCCACATCCAGTATGAATGTTTGTTTGAGTGCCTTAGTCCAGTCATTGACTGATGCTGTCCTATCACCCCCCCGCCCAAAGCTGCATTCCTACACCTTTCCTTAGTTCCCTTAGCTGACCTCAGAGTGTCTCTGATCAGTGCAGTTCATTCTGGCTCCCAGCAGTGAGTAGCTAGTCTCCAAAGCAGGGTGAGGAGAATGCCTTTCCTGAGAAGCTGAACAAGGAGGGGGTCTGTAGGCAGGCTAACGTGGAGTGTCCCTTCCCATTGCAGCGACCGCCCCCAGAGCCAGCTGGTTTCGGACTCAGAGTCGGAGATGGACAGTGTGGAGCACCTGGCCCTGGGCAGCACGGACACCCTTTCCAATGGACACAAGGCTGACCTGGAGGCTGCCAAACGCCTGGCCAAGAGGCTCTTCAACCTGGATGGATTTAAAAAAGCAGACGTGGCTCGCCACTTGGGGAAGAAGTACGTGTGGGTATTTGGAAGGAATGTTCCATTCTGCAAGGAGCTCACTTTCACCTGCAGTCTTGCTGCCCTTGTGGGGCACCAGACTGGCAAGGAACTGCTGGCAGGACCTCAAAACCTACTCCTCATGATTGGTACATTTGCACCAGGTGTTCCCTCTAAAGGTCTTAAAACCTAGGAGACATCCAGAGTTTCATACCTTCCTACCATGACTGCATCTTGGATGCTTCAGTAAGGTGTTGGGGCATGGCAGTGGCTAGCTGACCTCTCATGGGCCCTTCCCTCTATAGCTTCTCCATTTTCTCTTACATGCCCAGTATTCCCAGTGAATTTGTGGGTGACTTCTCTGAATTTCACGGGCGCGTGGGGTGTCTTTGTCCTTGTCATGCTTCTTGCAACCCCAGGGAGCTCCCAGCCTCTTGGAATCCACCCAACCCCTGTGTGCCTTTGGCTGTCCCCACAGCCTGGTCAATCGCATTCTCACTTTCCCCCTTTTCTATTTCAGCAATGAGTTCAGCAGGATGGTGGCAGGGGAATATCTGAAGTTCTTCGTCTTCACAGGGATGAGTCTGGATCAGGCTCTCAGGTCAGAACTGAGTGTGATACATGTGTGTGTGTGGTGGCCACCAGAGTGGGGTCCCAACAGACCATGCCCTCTGCAGCCACACAGAGATCTGCAGGAGCAAGCAGACCCCATGACTGTCACCTGGAGATTCTTTTACCTCTTAAATAGGAGAGGGTGATTTCCAAGATGTTATCTCAGCCATGCAACCAAAAAAAATCACTCCTGGTCTTAACTCAATGGTCAGTGCAGTTGAATGGCAGTCAACTAGGCCTGACTTTCCAGGTCTTGAACTCAAATCCTTCTGTTGTTACACCTACTTCCTTTCCCAGTGTAGCTCCTGGCATTGGCTGTAGGTCTTTGTGATGTGCCAGCAGGATATGGTGCTGTGGGCTTGGAGAAGAGTCCCACAGTGGGTTTGGAGGGAGGGAAGGATGTGCAAAGCAGGGCTTCATCTAGCACACAGGAACATCTCGAAAACAGAAAGCACAGCTCCATTCCTGCACAGGGTGAGTTGAGAAAACTGCAGTGGGCTTCATGTGTGACCAACGCTGCTGCTGCTTTTTCAGGTCCTTTCTAAAAGAGCTAGCCTTGATGGGAGAGACGCAAGAGCGAGAGCGAGTGCTGGCTCATTTTTCCCAGCGCTACTACGAGTGTAATCCCAATGCCATCTCTTCAGAAGGTAAGAAACTGTGCATGTCTGTGGCGAGTGTATGTATGTGTGTGTTTCAGGGGAGCCTATGTGTTTGTAGCTCGGTGAGTGTGCTCGAACTGAAACTAGAGAGCAGGCAGAGAGCCTATACCGATGCCTTAGGAGGTAGCCCCAGCATGTCATTTCCCTCAAATGACAGATGCTTTAGATTTTTATTTTTTTTTAAGCCTGGTCTGTTGGATGATGCATAATTAGAGCTCAACCCATTCTTAGTTTTGACCTTGAGCAGATTAGAGACACACTTAGCACACCCCTCACCAAATGGACCCCGGCTCTCAGACCTGCAGCTCAGGGAATATCTAAGTGAGGAAACTTGTGTGCATAGAATTTCAGGAGCACAGACACCCACTTAGTACTGTTTCATGTATCTGCACCTCTTCTGTATGCATTCACACAGAATGGGTCTGCTTCTGCATCGGCTCTGGAACAGGTGAGGTTTGTGTCAGTCCTACCTTGTCATGCTGGGAGCTCTGCAGGATTAGCTACAGCAGCACTGCCTGGCTACAGGGGCAGCAGGCTTGGAAGGGAATTTGTTGTGCCCAGGTTTGGAACCAGCGGTCTTCTTACCTGCAGGCTGTCAGTGCTGCTGTGTCCCCTTGTGTCCAGGGTGGGAGGAGGGGGCTCAGCACAATTTTGGAGGCTCGGAGACCCCATAGCCTTCCTTAGATGCTGAGACACTGGAGCACCAGCTGCTGGGCTGGGGCCTCTAATTCCTGTCCTGTGCTTGTGCTGCAGACGGAGCCCACACCCTCACGTGTGCCCTGATGCTGCTAAACACAGATCTGCATGGACATGTAAGTTACCACTGCCATTGCTCCAGTCTGTCCCCTGTCTGACCTCATCACCCTGAAACTGTAAGTGCTCAGGGAAGAGTGAGGACAGTGCCACATGATTAGGAGGCATGGGATCCTAGGCCCATAAGAGCTGGTCACCTATAATGTGTTTGGTGAGGATAGGTGACAAAGGCTAAATTAGAGGAGGGGGCTGATGAAGGAGAGAGCTGGGCTTTGAAGGAGACTTGCTGAGCTGAAAGATGTAGACGTGGAATGAGGGCAGAAAAGAAAACTGAACAGGAAAAGAAGGTGGGAATGAGACTCCAAAACCAGCTGCCGTTGGGAGCAGGGAGTGCACAATTTTGAAAAATGAGGCTATTTAAAACTCCTGGAGTCTCTGCAAAGCCAGCAGCTTCCCCATACCTGCAAGCAGCCTTCCAGAGACCTGGCTGATCCCTCACTCCTCTGCAGAGAATGGGTGTTTGTTCCTGGGCTATGGGACCTGCTCCAGCCAGCAGTAACCTCTGTCCCAAAGTTAATCCTGATGTTCTTTCCCCCTGACTCCCCCAGAACATTGGGAAGAGAATGTCCTGCTCTGACTTCATTGGCAACTTGGAGGGACTCAATGGAGGCACTGACTTTCCCAAGGAGCTGCTCAAGGTAAATTTGGTGGTTCTCCATGGCTGGCCAAGCAGCAGGAGCAGAAGTGAGAGCTTTGGGGTGGAGGGCTACCTGAGATGCTGTGAAGGCAAGATGCATGCAAGATTTACATGCAAGAACAGTGATGGTCCCTGAGCCTGTTGTGCTCCTGCCTTACTGAGGGGAACCTGGGCTGCTCCATTCCCCCAGCAGGACACTGGAGCTTTGCCTGGGGCTTGGATACCCTCATTGCTCTTGCTGTGCCTATATTGCAGGCAAGGGAGCACACATGGGGCAGCTTACTAGGGTTGGTTTGCCCAGCTGCAGCCAGAGGCTTCCTGGCATCAATCCTGTGTTACTCAGCCCTTTCTGACTCCCTGAAGCACTGGGGCCCAAAACTTTCACTAGGCTCTGGGGCTGGAGCCATCTCTGGTGGCAGAGGTGACATGGGCAAGGCATCACGATGGGGAGAGTAGGCTGGAGGTTGAAACCTTGGAGCTGGAAACTCACCTCACTGGTGTGACTGGGAGACTCCTGCCTTTTCCCTGCCTGACCCAGTTCCTGGAGGGGCTTGGTAAAGGAGAGCAGTGCTCAGCAAGCACCTGTGGCCTCGGACTGCTGCGCTTCTCTGGCATCGCCTGCTCTCAGGAGGGTCTTCTGAGCTGCTGTCTCCCCGTCTCACACCCTGGGAATAGGCTTAGCTCCCATGGGGTCTGCCAGGCAGAAATCGCTGCTGTTGGTGAAGCTACAGTTGGCAAATACTCATGATGTGGAAGATAGGTTCCCACAGGGTGCTGGAGCCACAACGGGGGGGAGGTGGTTGATGAAAAAAGGCAACAGAGGATGAAAAGCTGAGCTCCCTTTTCAGCCTTTGTGGGTCTATTCCTGGTTGTGTCGCTCACCCCATCATTAAGGGGTTACCAGCAGTTCTCAATAGGGCTGTCCTCCCTCTCAGCCCACACTTCACCAGTGAAAGGAGTTACTCAGGAAAAATTCTCCTCTAATTTTAAACCCAGTTCCAGAAAAGGCTTTAAGCACACAAAATGGATGCAAATATATGAAATGTGAACCCTGGCCCTTCAGTGCTACTGCAGTGCTACTCAGATACACCATCTGAGCTCCACTGACTTCTCAGTGTGCCCCCTTTGCATCCCTCACTGCCCAATGGTTGGGTGCCCACACTTGAGGCATTGCCCTATTAAACTTATCCCCTCAAAGCACCAGCAGTTCAAACATATGAGATGAAATTACCGCATCAGATCCCAGACAGAGGGAAATAGGACAGTGAGGAAGTGCCGTGGAGCTACAGGCTTTCTCTCACAGGCAGGGGCCAAGACCTTTGCTGGGTGTAAGGAAGTGGAGGGAGGCTGCAGTGCTGCAGCACAGCCCTGCACGGCTCAGCCGGCAGCCCAGCAGCTGGGAGGCTGCTCTGCTAAAAATGGCCTGTTCCCTCTGCAGCTGCGGTGCTCCCACCGCCGCTTTTCAGCCGCCTCTGTACAGGAGCCGTGCTGGGGAGGGAGAGTGAAAGACACTGCGAGGAAACTCAGGCAGGGCAGGCTGCAGCTCTTCACCTGAAGCACCACTCCACTTTGGAAACGCCCTGCTCATGCAAGGGGGAGTAATTTTCTGGGGCAGGTGAGATGGAGAAAGTGCTCTTGGTTTGTGCTGGGGGGAGAACTGGCAAAAGGATCTTGTGCCTCTCCTGGGCAGCCTTAACCACTCCTCCAGAGAAGACACTCTTTCCCTTCTGCCCACCGCTTTTGGCTGCTTGATGCTTTATGGTCCCTGCACAGGCTCAGGGGCAGACAAATGGGGAAAGGCTCTCCTGCTGCCCTCCCTGTATCAGCCTGCATTAGCCCTGTTGCCCTGAGCAGGATGCTTCCTCCTTGGCAGACCTGGCTGGCGGGCTGTGCCTGGGGACTGAGGCTCGTGTGCAAGCGTGCTGCACAGCTGGCTGGCTAATTTTAGTGCTTCAGGAGCACACGCGTTTCCTAAGGGTAAGGGGAGGGGAAGGGCTGGCAGGCTTCACAGGAGCTTCCCAAAGCTCTAGGCCGGGCCTTGGGCAGCTCCAGCAACACAGAAGAAAGGTCCTGGGGGCTCTTCCAAGCCTGCCTGGGTAGATAGCACAGGCTGCTACCCCATGGGCTTCAGAGCTGGAGGGCTGAAGATGGCTCTCACCCAAAACACTCACTGCCAGGGAACTGGGGCAGTAGGGCAGGACTTTGGTGGCTGCAGGGGAACAGGGCCACCATCCCTTGTGACTGAGGACAGCATCAGGAATAGACCCATAGGGAGCCAGCGCACTCCCCTCGTGTCTGACTGCAGGGAGTCCCAAGATAAACGCAGCATGATGCCTGAGAGCATGTGGCAGCTTGAGTCAGACAAGAACTTTATCTGCTACTAGATAATACATGTAAACAGTCCCAGTTTTATGCAGAAGCAATGAAAACACTTAAAGAGCTTTCACAGCTGAGCATCACATCCCCCTCACTGCCAGTGCCTCACTATGCCCTGCACAGAACCCTGCTGCTGGAACTAAGGCAGTGCTACCTTACTAGCACTGCTGCTGGAAATCCTTTTCTCTGTCTCTGAAAGCTCCCCTGGAGAACTACTCTGCAGGAAGGGCTGCCCACCTCTCTGTCTGAGATGTCCCCCTGATCAGGCATGGTGCCATGCCAGGGATTTAAGGACCATATAATGCTGTGCCAAAAGATGCCCACATCTGCAGGCTTGGACCTGAACTCCATGGCCATGTGATGGCAGCTGCCCATGCAACAAGGAGGTGGAAGCAGGACATCCTGGAGCTGGTGATATTTTGGTTAGCTCTTGAGGTGTTGCTTTTCTTTTGACAGCATGATTCCAGCCCAGGCCCCCTGGGATTTCACTCACCATTGCTGATTGTCTGTTACATTTCAGATGTCGATTTGACCTTTATATGATTGATCACTTTGTGGAGCATTAGCTCGTCCCCATCTTCCTTACTCTTTTAGCTTAACCTAGTGCTTTACTGGCTGGTAGAAACATCAGTAGGGGCAATTCGGGCCCCATTTCTTACCAGCACTGCTTAGCAATTGCAGGAGTGAGCCAAATCTGTGCTGCCTTTCAGCCTAGGAGCCCAGAGCACGTCACAGATGTTAATGAATTAAGCCTGACAATGCAGTCGGGTCCTCGGGGGAGGAAGGTAGGATGGGCCCCCACCTTCCAGCTTGGAGGCACAACAGCAGGGCTCAGACGCTCAGAGTGCTGGGTAAGTGATTAGCAATGTGGGAAGAAAGCCCTGGCTCCCACCTCTGAGCTATAATCACAGGAACGCTTGCTCAGTCTAATCCCCCGGGCTATTTTTTTTTGCCTGTTTCCCCTGGGAGTGATAGGCTGCTCTGCCCCTATCTCCCGTGGCTCTCTCAGGGGCAGCCCAGTACATTTGATGTGCCAGACATCCATGCCCCCTCCCTCGCAAGTTTTGCCAAATGATCACTATGCCAAACAGTTAGGACACAATGGAAAATTTCCCCCTCTCCACTGGCTGCATCTCCTGCTCAGTCAAGCCTAACTAAATTACGCATCGATCCTCGTGCTTTCTGCAAGGGTGCCCAGCTCTTTGCTTCTTCACAGGAGCAACTGCCTGGAGCATCTCTGTCCTGCCCATAACCGCTCAGTGACTGTAGCTACTGATGTTTTGACCTGACCTGGGAGGGACAGGCAAGAGGTTTAAGTGTGGGGTGGGCACTGAAGATGGAAAGTCTGAGCACGTCTCCAATGGGCCCATCTCCTACCGGCTTTGTAAGTCCCTAGTGTGGGCCGGGCTGCAGAAGCAGCTCTGAAGCCTGCCCAGCTGGAACCGAGTGGAGGTGCCACCTGGCCCCGGGAACTCGGGCGATGTCACCACCGCGGCCCCCCAGGAGGGCACAGCCACCTGCTCCCACTCTCCGCGGAAAGGAGGCAGGGACGGCCAGCTGGTGCACCGGAGGCAGCTCCGGCCACTCGTGTGGTATCAGCGTGGGGGATGCTGTCCCCCCGAGCGGGATGCCCGCCGCCGGCCCCTCGGCGCGGCTCAGCCCGGCCGGGTCGCCATTGGCTGCGGCGGGCGGGGCGGGGCAGCCCCGCCTCTGTCGGGAGCCGCCGCCGAGCCCAGCCCGGCCCGGCCCGGCCCCGCTTCAACAGGCGGCGGCAGAGCGGCCGCGGCAGGCAGGGCAGGGCACGGCAGGGCCGGGCAGGGCAGGGCCGCCGGGCTCCGCGCCGGGCGCCCCGCCGCCCCCCCGCCGCCGCGGGCAGGATGATCGGCGTCAACAGCATCAACAGCAGCGCGGGGCGCATGCGGTCCCGCTCCATGTGCTCGGTGCGCTACGGGCGCAACTACCGCGGCGTGGAGACCTTCTGCTACGGCTGGCCACAGCGCTCCCGCACCCTCAAGCCGGTGCTCTACACGGACCTGGTGGTCAGCCGCATCCAGAGCCGCCGCAAGAAGAAGCCGGTAAGCGGCGGGTCGGGGGAGCGGGGAGCGCCGCGGGGGGATGCGCAGCACCCTGCGCCCTGGCGGGGACATGGGCGGGTGAACATGCCCGGACAGTCGCCGTCCTGCCCGCTGAAAGAGCCTCAGCCCTGGTACAGACGTAGCGAGCGGCCAGCCGCATCTCTCTCTCTCTCTCTCCTGCCTGCTTTTTGCGGAGCCGTGTCTCCACCATGCCCCCTCCACCCGAGGGTCCCATCCCCAACCCTGGATTTCTCTCCCCCACCATCCCACTCCGATCACGGGGGTGGCGGGAGCGCGGCAAGACCTGGGTGACATTGCGCCGCTTACCGTGGTCTGGCAGCAGTGCTTGCTCGAAAACATCTCTGCGAGAGGAATCCAGGACAGAGCCGTACCGCTGGGACCTGCCCTACGGCTTAGCATAAGTGACAGGCTCTGCGGGCTCTCTCCCAAAGGTTGCGCTGCGCCATGCCCTGGCCAGCCCAACCAGGGCAGACTGGCACCCACCTGAGCACCGGGGAGAGCCGCAAGGCAACGCGGAGGGGGCAGCGCCGCAGCCCCGGTTCCCAGCCGAGCAGAGTTTGAGAGGAGGGAGTGGCTGCCTGGACAAAAATGGGCTTTTTACTGCCAGGAGCTTGCTCGCCGTGAGCCGGCATCCGTTTTGTAGATGTTAGGCTGGTGCGCATCGGTCCTAGGTGAGAAGAAGTGAACAGGGTCTCTCTGGGCGCGTCGTGCCTCCGTTGGGTGCCTGCCTCCGGTGTAGTAGCGGGAGGAGAGCCCACACCGGCCCCCTCCTCGCAAGCAGGCTGGGGCAGAGCAGTCAGGGTTACCCCAGGGCTACTTGTGCTGCCCCCGTGGACAAAACCAGCCCGGTGGGGCCGTGGGGGCCGTGCCAAGCCGCGGTGCTGTCATAGCGCAGTACGGTCTGGGGGCAGCATTAAGTTGTGACGCACTCGGATGGAAACAAGCAGTTGGGAGATGCTCGGCCGCTGCTCCCCGCGCTGTGGGGCTGCGCTGGGAAGGTCCTGGGGGTGATAGTTGCCTGGGCAAGGAGTGGTTTAATATTTTGAAAGAGGTTGATACAGTTTACAATGTTACTGAGTTAAAAGTATGGGGCCGGGATGGGTAGCTATCACCTGCTGTCACCCATGACTGCAGCAGGGTGGAAGGTGATGCACAGGACGCTGATCCCGTGGCAGCCCATTCTACAGGAAAAAAAGTCTGTCCCCAAGTCAGTCTGCTCTGTGTGTGCATAGGAGCCCCTCTGCAGCAGAGGGGAGGGAGGGACACGGTGGTGTACGCAGCAGGGCTGGTGTGTGCCCGGTGATGAGTTATTCTTGAGCATGGGTTGTGCATGCTGTGGAGGTGCGGGGGGGAGGGGGGGGCTGCCGAGGTGAATTAGGGACCCAGCATAAGTGCAGTTCCATCTGACATACAGCCCTGATCTGACCCTACTGTTCGGATCTGTGCAGCTGGGGCATCTGTGTGCCTGGGAGACCTCACAGAGCTTTGTGGCTGGATGTAGCAAAGATATTTTGCTAAGGAAAAGTTGGGGACAGCCATCGATTGAGCTTTCATATTTAAATGCTGTCAGTCACATAGAGAGGTAGAATGACTGCAAGGAGGATGCTTGGTGGCTGTGAAGTCTGTCTTGAATGTCATGAACCCATGGCCGGTCACAGGGCTGACAAGAGGAGGGGGAGCCTTGATATGCACAGGGCATCTTGCTGTATGGAGAGCTGAGCACTGTGTTTAGCAGACGAAATAGTAGACTGGAAAGGGAATGTGTCCATAAGAGTTGTGATGCATAAAGACGCACTCCAGAAAGAGTTAAAACCCTTGTCTGGATGCTGAAATTCCTGCCTCAACCTTCACCTGTTATTTGAGTGCTGGGCTACAGCCCTCAGTACAGTCCTGTGCCAAAGCCGTGTTCAGGCCAGCTTGTTGCTTTGCTCCACAGACCTTGCCTCTGGTCTGATCTGAGCTGAGGAGCTGAAGGTGGGTGTCTTCTCCCTACCCTGCTTACATAGGCTGTCCCCCGCAGGGCTGGCCCTGTGGCTGGGCTAGAACATCAGAGCCACCTGCCTCTTGCCAGTGCAGCCCCTCAACTGTCCTTGAGACATTTGGTAGAGCAGAACTCATGGACAGCCTCTCAGCCTGCTTTTGGGAGAGAAAGCACCAAAGAAAGATGTTGATTCAGTTAGAAATCCCCCTGGGACAGTAAATTCCTAGGTCTCTTTAGCGTTGCGCATGTCTAGGGCAGAGCTGGCTGATTGGCCTGGCATGCTGCAACGGTGAGCTCATAACCCAGCGATGGCAAAAAACCCCAGCCGTGCTTGGGGTCGTCATCCATAGTGGCATGTGGCCAGTGCCCAGCTTTCTCTTGGGTAGTACTTGCAAGCTCAGAAATGCCAAAGAGTTGCTGTGCTTTTGGCCCAGGGGAAATGAATCCACGGAGCAAAGAGAGCCTGGAGAGAGGGACCTGCTGAGCACTGAATCCGATGTCTCTGGTCTCTGCTGACGTGGCTGTGAGTTAGGCTTCAGGAACCTGCGTCACCTGCGCTTCCCCAGCAGAAATGATCTGTGCACCAAAGAGCCCAGAATTTTGTGGACTGACAGGCACCAGAACAGCAGGGTGGGCTTTGTGGCTGGAATGCATCTCCTCAGCTAGGACTTGGACCAAGTCCACCAGCTTTGTACCTGAGATTGGTCTTGGTTGGGGCTGGTGTTTAGCCAAGCAGAATTTTGGCAGGTTTTAAGTGTAGATGTAAAGCTTTGTGTTGCTCAAATCCCACAGCCTCTGTGGGATCACAGTTTTCCTGTTTGCCTCTCACTGTCCCCTTGCACAGGAATGTTGAGCAGCCCCTGCTTCCTGTCTCTGAGGTGGGATACTTGGCATCTTCTGCTGGTAATCGGCTTGGTGGGGTGCTGTTGGGGCATGTAGCAGGGCAGCTGGAGCCTTTTGAAGCCATAAGGCAGTTCAGCCTTTGAAGTATTCACCAAGAGTCCCAGAGCCCGGGTTTTTGTAACGCAGTACTCTGCCAAGCTGTTATCCAGCACTGTGCCATCCCAAATTACTCCTCGAGCATCTTCTTCTATTGGCTCATTCATTCACCATTTAGCAGCAATCCTCCTGCAGGCTGTGCATGGGGCTGGGGTCCCCTCCAGCCCTCCAAAATCCATGCTCAGCTGGCTCACATCTCCCTTCCTGGGGGCAGGGAGCTGACACTTCTATGTATCACCAGTGAGCCAGATGGAAGCCAAGCCACATGTGCCATTCTGCCCGCTCTTTCTGAGGTGCTTTCCTGCCATTTCCAGTGCCCACTACTCTATGCCATTGTTTTTTTAGTTTCCTTTTTGTATCTGTGGGTTCTCAGCATTTTTCAGCTGCATCCCCGGCAGTGACTAAGATCCCTTTCTGTTTCCCATAGTGACTCCTTATCATCTACATTGCTCCAAGATCCTGCTTATCCCCCTGCTCTGCTCCCACATTATGTTCTGCAGGGCTTTGGATTGCTTTTTTCCTCCCAGATTCTTCTCTAAGTCTGTTTTCTTCTCTGGCTGCCTTGCTGCCAGCCCACTGGTGGGTACCTCTTGCTCACAAGTTTGCATCCTGCCTCTCTGGCACTGGGACTGCATGAATGGGTCTGGGATCAAATCTTCTCTCAGGCTCTGATGCCATTATATATGAGACCTCTTTATAGGTCTCCTGTCTTCCCAGGAGAGAACTGAACCCTACTTTCTGCCTGCTAGATTGAGACGATCCTTTCCCTCCTCTGAGAAACAAGCTGGTGCTATGCCAGCATTTCCCCAACGGGAAAGTATGGAAGGAGCTGGATTCCCGCTCCATCCTGGCTGCTGCGCCTCTTGGGAGTGATGGATGTCCCTTCCCCTGTCACCGCTGGGGCCTGTCTGCTGGCCAGCATTCCTGGGCCCCTGCACGCCTCCAGCTGTACTTTCTCTGCCACCAGCAAGATTTCTCAGCAGCAGTCTCTGGCCCAGTGATGGATGTTGACAGCTGCATGAACAGCCTGTGCAAGACTCGATTATTTTCCTCCAAGGATGATGCCTTCCAGATCTTGCTCTGAAGCCCTCTGTGAGCACTGTATTGAAACCCTCTCTGGAGCCTCCCTGACTGCAGAGCAGTGCTGAGCACTGTTGGCTTGCACCCAGCTCAAACCGGACAAACACTTGGGAGTGGGGCCCTTGAGTATCCTGCTGCAGGCAGGCTTAGCTTGTTCCTTGCAGAAATACAGGCAGCAGATCCTGCCTTGCTCAGATAGGTGGTGTTTGGGTCTCCAAGGAGGGTTGTTTGGGGGTGCTGGGGAGGGTGTAGAGACAGGCCACAGCCACTGCAAGCACCTGCCTTGACCAGCCAAGAGGACATGGTCCTGTGAGGGCCTCATGAAGGACAGCATGTCAGGGTCTCTGCCAGTGCAGGGCCATGCTGAAGTCTCTCACAAAGTGTGCTCCTGTGCAAGCAGTGCATTGCTGGGGAGTGCTGGGTGCTGCCATGAGCTGGGCTCTGCCAGCCCGGGGTGGGTGGCTGACTGCAGTGAAGTTGTTGGCTGAGGTCTCTTGTGGCATGGAGCTTCTGGAGGCCCTGGAACAGGCTAAGTTTCCACTGAGTGGGGTGAAGGCATGCACCAATGAAGTCTGTCCCAAAAGCTCGCTCTCCTTGAGCTCAGGCCTCCTGAAGGCTGTTATTTTTACCAGCCTGGAACACTTTGGAATAGGGAGAAACAGCTCTCCCAAGCACTTGGAAATGTTAAGTGTGCCTCACCATTATGCTGCTAACACTGTGGCACTGTCATGGGCAGGTAGAGACAAAGGGTAGGAGAGGGCAAAATGCCAGGGCCATCCCCAGCATTTCTTTGGCGTGTGGGGGGGTTTGCAAATCCCATGGTCCCCAGGATGAGGTGTCTGTAACCTTAAATTGAGGTCAGCTGGCTAGCCTAGCCAGGACAGGGCTGGACTGGAACAAACTGACATGGACTTAGCTTAACCCCCAGTGTCCCTGAGCCAGTCTGGTGTGCCTCCTCTGTTCCCTGGAGCAGACTCCCAGCCTGGCACTGCCCTCCTGCTGACCCCCCACTCTTCTCTCTGCAGGCACTGTATGGCTCCATCAAGAATGAGAAGCTGCAGTGGGCCATGTGAGTATCCCTGTGGGGGATGCCTCTGCATGGTGCTGGGTGGGCAGTGAATCCACTCAGCCCCTAAAACCACACAAACCATGATGCTGCAGAGCGGGTGCCCCTGTGAGGATGAGGGAAGGAGAGGGAGCTTGGGATGGGCTGGGGTGCAGGTAATGTATCCCTGGCTGCCCTCAGCACTGCCATGGGGCTCCTTCTCCAGTGTGTTGGGGAAAAGCCACCTGAGGTTGGCTTCTTGCAGCTTTGGCCTGGGTTTGTGCCTTGGTGGCAGGCTCTGGAGGTGCTGTGGCTGTGCTGGGGCCCCACAGGGTGCCTGCACCCTCGCCCACAGCTGCCATCTCCAGCAGCAGGAGCAGCAGCGCCTGCGCTGCAGGGATTAATCAGCCCGGTGCTACCCAGCGCTGAGCGATGCACTCGACCGCTGCCATGGAGACGCCGACAGATGCTGAGGGGTTTAATTAGCAGCAAGAGGCTGAGGGAGTGGGGAGGCAGCAGCTCTGGGCTCCCACATCTTCCTGCGGGCGGGGAGGAGTGGCACCCATGCAGCCTGCCCATAGTGAGGGGCCGTGACCCGGTGGGAGCAGGCTGCCTACATCGTGCCCACACCTGCTCCTGCCCTTGGATGGTGCTGCCCAAGGCCTTCCCACCACAATCTCCCTGCACCCCTTTGCCTCTGGCTCTGGGCCCTGTAGTTTGACTCCCACCCTTAAAACGTGGTGACCAGAGCCTGGGTCTCTCCTTGTGCGGGTGGACCATTCTATACCCTCCTTCCTACCATGTGGGGACTTGTGAGTCGGTATGCCATGGGCTGGGGGGCTGTGGTAGTGCCAAGCCTTGGGGTACTGGTCCTCCATCACTCCTGGCTCATCAGCCTGGCTGTCATCTGTTGCACCCCTGCCCAAAAAAAGGCTTCTTACTCCCTGGGGCAGGCAGTGGTCCCATCCCGAATCAGCAGCAAAAGCCCAGTGCCTTGTCTTTCAAGGGACCAGGCAGCACTGTCTAGAGAGAAAGGGGCACAAGAGCATAGCTAAGTTTGGGATGCTCACCAGTGCTGATGGAAAACTGTTCTTTCTGGCCTGCTGCTTCTGGCTTGCCTTTCAGAAGCCAGGCCTAAAAACGGCACCGACCAGTGGGGAACTTGGTATTTGCTGTCCCCAGAAAGGTAACAAATTCTTTCCCGACCTTAATCTGATTGGCAGAGATGAGGAGGAGCTGAGAAAATCCCTCTCGGAGCTGGCAGATCCCAACCCAAAGTCCATCAAGCGCATCAGCAGCTGCAGTAACCCTTTTCTGGACTTTTCCCAGGACTCCAGCATTGCTACTTACAAGCACGGGCTGTTAGTCCGCAAGATCCACGCTGATCCCGACTGCAAGAAAAGTAGGTGCTTAGGGAGCCCGTGGGGGGCACTTGGGGCAAGAGGGCACCAGTGAACTCCGGAACTGAATGGGAAGCAGGGTAGGAGTCACTATGTGATGTCTGTCTGTAGCTTCATGCCAGCCTCCAGCTTCAGTGCCCTGTCTGTCTGGCTGTGCCAGCCATAATTCAGCCCTCAGGCTGGGGAGCTGGAAAGCCTCTCCCTGCCCACAGCGCTGGGAAAGGGGCAAGCAGGGTGGTGGGATGGGGTCTCTGGGGATTGCAACCCTGCCACATGATTGTGTGGTTGAAGGGAAGTGTCCTGTGGTGTGATAGACAAGGCACACAGCAGGCTGCAGCTGGTTGGGCACTGCCAGGCATGTTTACAGTCTTCCCCATAAAATCCCTCCTAAGCCCTGGCCGTCTAATGCTGCCTAGCTGTGATTAGATGCAGCCGCCCTTCAAAGCCAGCATTACCTGGCAGGCAGCTCTGCCTTGTCCCCGTGCCCGAGCACGGAGGCAGTGGCGAAGCGGAGCACAAGCAGCGAGGCAGGGAGCGCAGGGGGGGCACAGGGGGAGCGCAGCACAGCGCAGCGCTGGCCCCGGGAGGCAGCAGGGCCCCCCTGCCAGCAGCACCATCTGCCAGCCACGCCGCCTGCACGGGCTCAGGTGCGCAGGGACAGGCCTGGCGCGCTGCCCGTCCCGGGGGTGGGGTGACGTGCATCGTGCCAGGGCTGGCTGCAGGAGGGCGGGGGGTGGCTTTCCCCCAGCTCAGTTCTGAGGATGATGTCTGAGCTGCTCTCTCCTCCCCGGCAGCACCCCGAGGGAAGCGCGGCTGGAAGCCCTTCCACGCCATCCTGAAGGGAATGATTCTCTACCTGCAGAAGGTAGGCAGCAGGGAGAGGGATTGTCCCCAGTCCAGAGAGTGGGTCACAGCAGTGAGAGAGGGCCTGCAGCACACAGCATTGCAATGCCTGGCCTAAGCAGACTCAGCGCCCTGCATGCCTGAGCTGTTGCTTGGGGACCCTGTTTCCAGGGTGCTTGGGTACAGCTTGGGCAGCAAAAGGTGCTGCTAACTGAGAGCCCTGCTTGCAGGGGGCTTGGCTGGGAAGAGAGGGGCACCAGGGTCTTTCCCCTGAGTGGAGGGTTGGGCTGCACATCCAGTTCCCTGCAGGCACACACACAGGGAAGTGAGGGCAGTGGGGAACAGCCCCCCTGTACTGTTGCCAAGCCAGTGTGCCTGGGTTGTGCAGCCTCTCTGCAGGAGTATAGCATGAGCTGGAAACAGAGTCCACAGCTGCTTGGTGGAAGGTGATCTCCAAGCCCTGCCACAGCCAGCACTAGTGTGCAACTCCTGAAACCTCATGGAGCTGACTCATGGTGGGGTGCATCCCTGAGCTGGCTCTGAAACACCCCATGATTTGCAGGAGGAATACAAGCCAGGGAAGGCACTGGCAGAAGAGGAACTGAAGAATGCTATCAGCATCCATCATTCACTTGCCACACGGGCATCTGACTACAACAAGCGACCCAATGTCTTCTACCTCAGGACAGCTGACTGGAGGGTCTTCCTTTTCCAAGCACAGTGAGTCCGTCAGGATCCCTGGCTGGGCCCTGTGCTGGGGCACAGGAGCTCCCCTGTCTTGAGTGTAGGGTGGGATGGGGCTTAGGGCCACCTTGCTCTCTTCTGTCCTGGCCCTTTCTGGAAGGAGAGGGACCTGGTGTCAGTGCTGGGCTTTACCCAGCTCCTCTTTTCCCTACCCTGCTGGGCTCAGGTTACCTGTGAGTAGAGTCCCCCAGATGTCATGGCTGGCTAGGGCCAGGCCTGGGGGACTCAGACCTTATCTGCAGAGCAGATCCCTCTGTCTTTGACAAAGATAGCCCATCTGTATCCTTGTCTTTTTTCTCAGGAACCCCGAACAGATGCACTCGTGGATCACACGCATCAACGTGGTGGCAGCCATGTTCTCTGCGCCCCCCTTCCCCGCAGCCATCGGCTCCCAGAAGAAGTTCAGCCGCCCGCTGCTGCCCAGCTCCTGCACCAGGCTGTCTCAGGTGGGCACAGCATGGGGGCAGTGGTGAGCCTAGGACAAACCCCCGGATCTGCCGGTGGCGCATTCCCCTGTGGAGGGATCTGTGTGGTGCCATGTGCCCAGCTGCCTCCCCAGTGAGGTGAAGAGCCAAGGGAAAGACAGAGAAAAAGGGTGCTGAGACTGGGGGTGGACAGTGAGACGTTATTCCTGGCAGTGGGGCTGGAGTCAGGTGATGGTCAGACCATGGAGGAGAAAGTGGTCCCACATCATGGCTTGCAAGGTCCTGCCAGAGACCTTGAAAGGCAACTGACTGGGGGGATTAGCTGGCACTCATGCATACCAGGGCAGTTATTCATAGAGCAGAAAGGATTTAAAAAAAACCACCAGCCTAGTTTTAGAGGGATTAAATTCTTCTGCTTTAAGACTGCAGTCAGCCCCCCTATGAGGTGAGAGCAGATTGCCCCCAAGAGCCTGTGATTTTGCCTGCTATTAAAAAAACAAACAAACCCAGCAGCAGAAGCTGAGATCCTGGCTGCTCCTAGAAGGGGAAAAACCTATTCTGTCCTCGGCCAGCTCACAGTACCAGGGGGACAGAGCAGGGCACTGACATGGTGCCATCCTTCCCCAGGAGGAGCAGGTGAAGAACCATGAGACCAAGTTCAAAACAATGTCAGCGGAGCTGCTGGAGCATCGGTCCTCACTGCCTGAGAAGAAGGTGAAAGGCAAGGAGTACGAGGAGCTAAAGCAGAAGGAAGAGTACCTGGAATTTGAGGTGAGCTGGAAGATGCCCCCCTCTGCCCTCAGGCCCTCTGCCCCTATCTGTTTGGCCATCCTCAGCGATGGGACCAACCCCTCCCATCAGCTGAATTACACTGCCGTGGTCTAGGACCACGAGCATTCCTCTGCCCCGAGATGCTGGCTGGGTTGGAGGGACCGTGAGCATTCCCCCTGCAGGGATGCTGGCCATGGGACAGTACCCAGCTTGCCAACCTGTCTCTCTGCTGCACTGTGCTCCTCAGAAATCCCGCTATGGCACCTATGCCATGCTGCTGCGGGCCAAGCTGAAGGCTGGCTCCGAGGACCTGGCAGCATTTGAGTCCACCCTCTTTGACACAGCGGGTGGGGAGGACGATGGCCTGAAAAAGTCCCGCTCCAGCCCCTCGCTCAACGCAGAGCCCTCCAGCACGACCACCAAGGTGAAGCGCAACGTCTCAGAGCGCGCAGGCCGCCAGCCCCCTGGCCACCCCCAGAAGTCCTAAATGGGGGCCCTCAGCTGCCTGCACTGCAGCTCTGTTGCTGTTCCCCTGGCACGGGGCTGGAGGCCGTGTCCGTCTGTCTGCGGCACGAGCGGGAGGGGCTGACAGCCCTTCTGCAGCCGCCAGCTCCAGCCATGCAGGGCCGTGGCCCCTCCACCGGAGACAGTGGCAGAGCAGGACGGTCCCCAGTCCTTGCCTGCAGGAGCTGCCTGGCCCCATCAGACTTGTTCCTGCCCCTCCTTGTCCTGCACTTGGCTGCAGGACCTACTCTTGCTGCCCTGGGGAGAGGGAGCAACTGAAACCCACCCGCTGGGTACAATTCTTCACTGGCTTAAAAAAAAAAACAAAAAAAACCCCACATGCAGCAAAACAAAGCCAGCGGCCGCTTCTCCAGCTCCATCGTGCCATGGGGGTAGATGGGAGGGGGCCAGCCCTAGACTATCCCCTCTCCTGGGGCTGGTGGCCAGGGAAGCCAAGGCAACAGCACCTGGTCCCTTCCCTGCCACCTCAGTCACCTCCGCACCCTCCCTGCTTTCTTACAACTTTTGAACAGTTTTTGTGATACAGTTTTGCACTTTTTAGTACCAGATCGAGCTGACCACCAGGGAGGTTTTTTTGGGGGGCTACTTTTGATGCTTTTTGGGAACTGTTTAAAAAAAACAAAACCACAAACCCAGCCATATCTTGTAGGCACTGCACTCTGGGGGAAAGAGGTTTTTAAAAGGACTCAGGGGGCAATCCAGCTCCCCATACCCCCACCCTGCAGCAAGCTGAGCGTGGGCTACTGTGTGTACTGCTGCTGCCTGCTCCCCAGCTCCACTTCAGCACCAGCAACCCTTCGGGGAGACAGCCCTGTGGCTGCCAGTACCAAGGAGGCAGCCTTGAGATGGCAGCAGCACCCACTGCTGCATGTGTGGCTGCATGGGAGGCTGATGCACTGGTGCGTCATGACCCCCATTTTCCACCCCCCACTGCTGGCAGCTTGGACTGGCCCTGTTTGCGCCAACCTGGGTGTGAACATTGTGCCCAGGGCATGCAGGGCAGCAGTGTGTAAGTACTCCCCGTGGGGTGGTGACCCCTAGAGCCAGGGTTGATACGGGGGTCCCTCTGCCCTATGGGTCCAGCACAGGCTGGAGCCAGCTTTTCTTCCCATCTCTTTTCCAATGCATGGCTGGGGCCTCAGAGGCTCCCAGCAAAGCCTGATCTGCAGTACTGCAGTCCTCGTTCTGCAGCAGCAATGGTGCAGCCCCTTCCTCAGCAACAGGCTCCCTCCTTGCCAAGGTGAGGGGCAGGCTGGGGCAGCCCACACCACTCCAGAGTGAGCTGAAGGATGCTTGTCCAGAGCAAGGGGCAACTGCTGGAGCACAGCTGCGGGATTGTCCAGAAGGGGTCCAGGCACAGTGAAGGGCTGTGACCAGGGGCTGGCACACACGCAGTTCTCAGCCGCCTGGGACCTGGCTGGTTTCAGCACTGACTTTGCGAATGTGTCAAAACTTTTTATTCTGCTCTTTTGAGTCTATTGCAAAAAAAAAAAAAAAAAAAATCCGCCCTTGCCCCAGGTGGCTTGGGGGGTGGGGGGTTAAAAAAACCTTTGTACAGCTTCTTCTCTCAGTTACTGAAGTAAAACTTGCTCTTCACTTCTTGGGTGCGCTGTGGTTTCTTCCCCATGGCTGGGGACAGCCCCAGCACAGAGGGATGTTGAGGATGGGCTGGCAGCTGTCTCCTTGCTGCCACACTTCCAGACCCAGGCACGGTTCAGGGGGGTTAGTGCTCAGCTCATAGCTGGAGCTGGAGAGAGGGAGGGCAAAGACTAATGTAACCGGTGTCCTTTTATTCAAAGAGGGACCATTAAATAAGAGCAGAGACGGGCAGGAGCCAGCTGCATCCCATTCCCCTGAGTCCAGGTAGCCGGACCCCAAGTCCAGAAGGCACTTGTGTGGGCAAGGCAGAGGGCAGTGCAGCTCCCTGTGTGGTCACAGGGGCTGCTGGCTGGCTCCTCAGTGCACCTGTGGCTGCTGGCTGGGGGGCAGCTCTCCCCCTGGCTTCAGGGCTAGTGTGGGCGCCTGCTCCTCCTCCACCGACTCACTGCCGTAGGCACTGTCTTCCTTCAGCTCTGCAAAGCAATCCCCGGGTGCTCTTAGCCATGGGGCAACAGGAGGGCAGCAGAGACACTCCCTGCCCATCAGCCCCAGCCCTCGCTCTCTGTACCTGTGCTTTGCAGCTTATCCAGTGCCTCGGTTTTGTGGAGCATCCTCACAGCGTTGTGGAGCCCCATAGAGTCCAGTGCCTCCAGCAGTCCTCCCAGGCTGCCACCTGCCAGCTGTGGAGAGAGGGCACTGAGTAGGGCTGATGGCCAGAAAGGCAGGGGGGACAGAGGCACCCCAAGCAGGCACTGACCTCGTAACTGCGCAGGAGGCTGGCACTGGGCGAAGGTGTGTCCTTGTAGGTCTCCACGAGGCTGCACAGCCCCAGCCGCTTGGCCAGCTCGATCCAGTCTGACCCACTGCAGTCCTGGTTCAGCAGCTGCTCCAGCCCCTGCAGTGCCTCATTGTCCAGTGACAGGACCTTCCCTGTGTGAAAGGGGTGCCCCATCACAGGTTGCCCATCCTTGCTGCTGGGAAGGTGTTACCCTGCCTAGGTGTGGTACTTTTGAGTTGGGGGTTGGGGGGGAAGCGGCTGCTCACCTGGCTGGGGGGCAGTGGGCTGTTCTGCCTCGGGCCCCTGCTGGGAGGCCTGCAGCAGGATCTCCCGCACCTGCAGACAGACACAGATATCAATCTTCCAAAGCACTGCCCAGATCCCTCACTGCCACCTCACATCTTGGATCTCTGCAGGACACAGAGGAGCACAGGCATCCTCACAGGAGCATCTCTTGGAACTGTGCCTCATGCCACAGGCATCCTCACAGGAGCATTTCCTGGAACTGTGCCTCATGCATGCCATGGCCTGCACAGAAACACTCCCAGTGAGTTTGTCCCGCTGTGCCACACACCTTCTGGCTCCGAGTCAGGTCCAGGGACGTGTGGCAGCGGCGCTGCCTGTGCCCTGCCTGCCAGTGTCCCTGTGTGGAGAGCTTGGAATTGGTGCTGTGCTCCGCAGCCAGGGCTGGCTCTCCCAAATCCATGGGCAGCTCCTGTTCCTCAGGGTCGGTGTCTGTGTCGCTACTGGCCTCTGACGAGGATAGGCTCATGGGCTCGTCGTTCTCACACAATACATCCGCCCCTGTGGGGAAAGGGTGACATAAGCCAGGCCCACGGGTCTGACCTTGTGCCTGGCACCATCCAGTGCAGGCAGCCAGAGCTATGGGAAGGGAAGGAGGAAGGGCAGTGCCTTACCAGCTTTAAGGAGCAGTTTGGTGAGGGTGGGGGAGCCCAGGCCAGCAGCCAAGTGCAGGGGGGTGTTCCCAGCGAAAGTCCGGCTGTTGATGTCTGCTCCCAGCTAAGAAAGGTGTGAGGCCATGAGGATGGGCTGCCTGGCCACTGCTCCTCCTACACCCTGTCACCCCGAGGCCCCACTTCTGCCAGGAGCCTGGAGGAGGTTGCAACCCATCCCTTTTCTACAGCCACCACTACACCAGCTGCTCCATACCTTCTTCACCAGGTGGGTGGCCATGTTCAGGTTCTCCATCTCCACAGCCAGGTGCAGTGGGGTCCTCCCACTTTGCCTCTCCACTGCATTCACATCTGCTCCCGTCCTGATCAGCAGGTCCAAGCAAGCCAAACTCTTTGCCTTCACAGCCAAATGCACAGGCAGGAGGCCTGCAAGATGGGGATAGGCTCAGCAGCCTTCTGGTCAAGCCCATGATGGCACCACTGGGGTCCTGCCCATCGTCCCTGAGCCACACTCACCATGGAAATTGGGCAGGCGGAGCAGGTAAGGGGCAGCTGAGCCCAGGTGAGCCAGCAGCGTCCTCAGCATCTCTTCATCGCCAGCCTGGAGTGCCAGGTGCAGCAGGGAATTGCCATAGCGGTCCAGCAAGGTTGGGTCAGCGCGGGCTTGCAGCAGGAGCTGGACCACCTGGGGCTGCTTGGTGATGACTGCCAGATGCAGTGGTGTCTGCAGGACAGCAGCACATCCTCAGCAGCGCTCACAAGAGGAGCCAAGTCCTGCACCACCATTATCTCCAGTAGCTACAACTTGTTCTGATCTGTAACCTCCCCTCAGCAGGAGCAGCTACAGGAGCCCCCAGGGTTGGAAAATACAAATGAGGAACTACTCCCAGGTAGAGCAGAACTGGCTGCTCTGAAAAACATGTACCTGTTGCAAGTTATTGGAGATGTTGATGATCTGCTGGCTGGGGATGCTAACAATGACGTCGATCAGCTGCTTGATCACAGCTGTCTGTTCATGGATAATAGCCAGGTGCAAAGGCCTGTAGAGAGACAGATGGCCCCTAGCTCAGCTCCATGTTTCTCCAGGTACTCCTGCTGCCCTCAGAGCCCCCATAATGGCTCTGACAAACAAGACCCCACGCTCTCCCTTCAAACCCCTCATGTGCTCACGTGTCTCCGTTCTCATCCTGTGACGCGGCCAGGTGCCTCTGCACTGCCAGCAGCATGCGGGGGTCGGCGGTCACCGAGTAGTCGAGCAGGGCATGGGCATTGCGACGGGCTAGCGCCAGCATCCACAGCTGGCACAGCTGGGCTGGGGGGCAAAGCAGGATGTCACCTCCAGGAGCAGCAGCCTCATCCACCCTTCTGCATCCACCAGGTGTGGAGAGCAGCACAAAGCCCCAAAAGGTCCCCAGTCCATGCCTCCTCTTCTGAGCGATGCGTCCCAGCCCTCCCTCAAGCTGAGCCCCTCCTACCGTGCTTCTGCAGCTCCTTGCAGTACGTGCTCTCTTCTGCAGGTGCCTGCCTGTCGCTCCCAGGCCCCTCTGCCTCGGAGCCTTTCATCTGCACACCCCCCTGGTAGCTTCCCACTGGGTGGGGGCTGGACGAATAGATGCTACTGTAGGTCAGCCCAGGGGAGTATGGGAAGCTGAGGTTCCCACCTGTGGGGCAAGGCAGAAGATGGGTGAGCAGAAGGGAGCCCCCAGGGCCAGACCTCAGCGACCTGAGAGAGGAGGGGAGGAGGGGGAAGAGGCATTGCCACTCACCTCCTCCAGAGCCAAAGCCCCCGGCCCCCCCGCCAGCCCCCCCCATGTGCGAGCCACCGCCAAAGTGCTGAGGAAACTGAGGCAGGACTTTCTTGCGCTTCCTCTCCACTTCTTCCTTATCTGTGGGGAGAGAGGGGCAGCAGGGTGAGAGGCAGCCCCAGCAGCAGGGGCCATGCCAGCCTGCCTGGGTGGTGCTCACCTTCCACCACTGGGTAGTAGGTGAACTGCTTGGAGTCACTCACGTCCCCTCCCCGCTTCCGCTTCAGCTGCAGGAAGACGGTGACAGGACGGTCGATCTTGGGCTTGTGGTAGGGGGGTGTGCGGAAGACAATGGCGTACTGTGGGCAGGACATGATGGACATGAGGCTCTGCTCATCTCTGGAGCTGGGACTATCTCACCCCACAGGGCATTCATCTGCCTTGAAGCAGAGCAGGACACTCCCCACCTCCCCTGTACCTGCTTGTGCACATCTGTAGGAGAAAAGTCCCCGAAGGCCTGCCAGCCATTCTCATCATCCTCGTAGAAACGCACCTCAATGTCATCTGGGGAGAGAAGTGGCACTGGCACCGCCTGTCTCCTTGCCCCAAACAGGCTTCAAGGACACAGATCCCTGATCACCCAGGGGCTCCAGATCTCTCCTGCCACAGCCCCTCCAGAAGGTTTTGTCTGGAGAGAACGGCTTTTACCTTTCTGAACTTTATCACACAGCAAGTAGACTTCATCTCCTCCCCGCACAGACCCTGCTGTCTTATCCATCCGTGAGATCTTCAGATTGGAAGCTCCAGGGGACTCTGCAGAGCAAGAGGTGTTGAGAGTCACTGTGCAGAAGTCCTTACCCCCTCGTGCCCCATACTTTTCCTGGACTGGCCCCACACTCACTGCTGTCATGGATGGGGTCCGAGATGACAGGCTGGAGGGCCAGTGTGAAGTTCCCACTGCTGTCACGGAGGTAGGCGGTGAAGCGCAACCGCACAATGCTCAGGTCCATCACCTTCTTCAGCTCCTTCGCCTCCTGCTCGATCTCACGCAGCTCCACTTCTGGCAGGCCAGGGGGACAAACTGTCAGGCTGTATGGGGGACAGTGCTCCAGGTCCCCTTCCTACCACCCCAGCCCCACACTAAGCCCAGCCTGCAGCTGTCAGCCCGTGGTGCTGAGGCCCACTGAGTCCCCAGGCTGCCCTCACCTGTCAGCAGCTGGCTCCTGTTGCGCATCTTCTGCTGCTTCAGCTTTTCCTTCATGATTTCCATCATATTCTTCTTGGTGACATGGAGCACACCCAGGTTGCTGAACCTGGAGAAGAGGGAACCTGCTAGGATATGGGAGCGTCAAGGACAGGAGCAGTAAGCCCAAAGGGGCACATACTCCTGCAGCTGGGAAGGACCTGAGCACAGAGCAGTGCCACTCAGGCAGCAGGGAATCAGTGCATGTGCAGCAGAAGAGGAGCAGCCACAGAGGAGAGGAAAGGAGCCCCAGAAACTCTGGGCTCCCACAGGTGACAAGTCCAAAGGGCTGTCAAAGACAAGACCAGGAAGACTGAAGGCCAGAGGGATGCAAATGGTACTGAGCTGAGCCAGAGATGGATATGTAAGAGCAACTGCAGCAGTTGCAGAATAACCCTGTGACTCAGGCTGACTTCAAAAGTCATCTGCAAAGCTGGGGAGCTGCAACCTCAAGGACAGAAGCTCAAAATAAGCTGCATATGTCAAAACCCAGAGACGGACAAAATGCTCAGGGGACAGAGTTGTAACAATGAATTTGTCTAAACACACACCTGACCTCATCCAGCAAACCCAGCTCCAGGGTGCATTAACCCCTATCTTCTCCCCACCTCATAAGCTGCAGGAAGCAGCCACAGCCACCTCACATAGGCAAGAGGCCACCCTGGGTCCTCCTTGCACGTACTGAGCAGTCATGTCCTTGGGTCCCACGATCGTGACACAGTTGCCAGCCTCGTTGCACTGCTTGCCCACGAGGCTGTGGGCGTGTACCCGGGGAGGGTCACTGTGCGTCACCAGGTCTACTTCGATCCGGGCCACCCCTGTGTAGTTGCAGATCTGCAGGGAAGAAGGAGATGGGGGTCAGGTACAATAAGCCAGGAGCCTGAAGGATTCTCTACAAATCCCTGTTATCCCTCCCCATGGCCACCACGCCTCCTGCCACAGCCCTCCTATCCCTCCAGCACCAGGAGACACACGAGAGCTTATTACAAATGTCCTGTCCTTTCTTCAAGGCTCCCTCCTGATGCTCATGCACTCCTGCTGAAGACACTGCTCCATCCCCTTCCCGTGGCAGCGCTCACCTTGACAGTGGGATAGGTCTTGCGCCCCTTCTCACTGGATGCTCCTGGCAGCCCCCCATGGGAAGGGCCCTCGCAGCCATACCGAAATCGGAAACCCCGCTGTGGAGGCAAAGAACGGGTCAGCCAAGGGTGGCCAAAGCCTGATGCCATGAGAGCAGGAGGTGACAGTTACACCTGTCCTTACCTGCTTTGGCTGCTCAATAATGACAAGGTAGGGACCTTCCGCTGGAGGACAGAAAGGAGAGGTACCAATGAGAAACATGGGAAAACCAAAAGTGCATGTTCTTACTAAGGATGCTGGAGATACAGGGACAGCACTGAAAGTGATGTGACCCCTGTCTGTCCCATGGGGGTCCGCAGAGCCCCCAAAGCCCTCTCTGTCACAGCCCAGCTGGGAACAGCAGTCAGAGTAGCAGGAAGAGGAGGGGAGGGCCAGAGGATGCTCTGTCACCTGGGGAACAGGGACCTTCGGGAGGTGACAGCCCAACCTGGCAGTCCCTGGCAGACTGAGCAGCAAGGCCAGATGGAACAAGCCCCATACTGGTGGCACAGGGCAGGGATTCCCAGCCAGCCCACAGTGGGACCAGTAAGGACAAAACCTGTGGCGCTTCTGGGAACTAAGAGGCATGAGTCAACCTGCTGGGAGACTCCACAGCAGCTGGGGACCCCTGGAAGGGTACAGCCAGAGGGGCCCTTACCTGTCTCCATCAGGGGCTCCTTCTGCTCCATCATGTGGGAGCCAAAACTGAAGTCATCATAGTCAATCCCATCCAGGCACTAGGTGATGGGAGGGAAATTGAGTGTGGTGAGTGTGTTGGGGCAGGAATCCTTCAGCTACCCTGGGCGGGCGATGGCAGTCTGGCACAGAACCCCATCGGGGCAGGCACAGATCCCTGTCGGTCCCCAGGAAGAGAGGTGGGCAGGTGCAGACCCCTCAGTGCCCACCCTGGAGGCTGACACAGAGCCTCCCACCCCGGAAGCAGGCACAGACCCCCACTTCCCACCCCACCCGTGGGGTCGGGCACTGTCCCCTGCCCAGCTCCGGGGCCGGGACCAGGCAGCGACAGCCTCCCGGGCCGGTCCGATCCGGTCCGTGCCGCACTCACGGGTTGGAACTGCTCGTCCATGTCGGCGCGGGGCCGGCCGCCGGCCTGCGGGGAGAGAGAGGGGGGTTGAGCGGGGAGCGGGGCTGCAGGAAGGCACCGCCGCTCCGGAAAGTCCCTAGAAACCCCGCCGAGCCGGGAAATGACGGGACCGCGCGTCACCGGCCCGCCCCGCCCCACCGCGGCCGGGGCACGGCCCGACCGGCTCGGGACACGGCCCGGGGACGCGGGACACGGGACACGGGACGCGAGGGTGCGCCCGGCCCGGCCCGGCCCGGCCCGGCCAAGCCCAGGGCTCTGCTCGGCCCGGCTGCTCCTCCGCCCGCCGGGGTGATGGGACGGGCTGTCCCCTTCTCGCCTGGGAATTTTGGACTCGGAGCCCCGGGCGGGCTGGAAATTCCGGAGCACTCCCGCTCGCCTCCCCCGACCATTCTCGCCTGGGCGCTGCCTGGCAGCTCCGGGCCGCCAGATGTGCCGTATTTTCCCCCGGGAGTACGGAGGGATTTGTCCCACATCGTCCCCGGCCGCTTGTCCCGGTACGGGTGTCGGTTCCCGCTGCGCTGCCATCAGCCCTTCCCCGTGCAGTGCAGCACGGCTGAAACCACCCGCCCGCGCCATAAAGCCCCGCAGCACCCCCGGGGTCCCCAAGGTCCCTACCCCACATCATCCCATCCTACACAGGGGTGCGTGTCCCGCACCGGGATGTCGTCTCCGAGCCCCTATGGTCTCAAACTGAAGTCGCCCCAGAGTGCTATCCCCAAGCCCACTGGCTTCCCCCTGCACAAGGAAATATCTCCAGGACTCTGCAGAGCGAAGCAGAGTCTGAAACCCCTTGCCAGGCACCCAAAGGGGTGCTTTCCCTCTCCCCAATTTCAACTTACACAGCAGCCCCAGCATCCTTCCCGCGGAGGTGGCCTGAGAGAGGCATTCGCTATCCGCGTTCCCATTGCCTCCTGCCCACTGGCTTCAAAGTGGAAGCGGCAGCCCCGGAGCTCCCTGTGGGAGCATCTCCCACTGCCCCAGCACTCAGCAGTGGATGCTTTCCCGCCGTCCCCAGCAAGGCACTGCCAACAGCACGGGCCCTTCCCTGCCGCCCACAACGCTAACACCCTCCTACTCACCGGAGAGGAAGAGGATGGTCTCAGCAACCCGTCCAGCCCCAGCATCGCCACAGGGATTGCCAGTACCACAGACAGGAAGAATTCCGCTGGGGTCAAGGGCTGCCTGACCACAGAAAAACCACCGGCGACTTCTAGCAGAGGGGCAGGATCAGGGGAGAGCCTACGGGTACGCTCCACATTTCTTCTCACTAACCAATGAAAAGAAAAAAAAATCCCGTATCTGACTCCACGATGCCCTCATACCATGAATTTCTGAATCAGTGGTTGCTGCAGGTCCCACTCAGGGGATTTTGAGTGTGTGGGAGAAGAGGGGAAGGAAGGGGATTGTTCAATTCGTGCGTGACTCATATTCTTCAGAAGCTGAACAGAGCCTTTTCAAGATTTTTCAGCCACTCAGGTCTTCCAAAGGGGCTGTCCCATGACCCCAAGCCTGAGGTTTTTCCCGGTTGGCCTGCCACCTAAGCACGGAGATGTATCCCAGGCAGCTGTGCAGCCTGCCATGTGGGGTCTGTGGGACCTGCAAGTGCAGGGAAGGGTGCAAGGAAGGAGGAGATCCAGCACTGCAAAATGAGATGGGGACCTTCCTCTTGCCGTTCTGTGGGGGCTTCCGAAGGCTTAGGAACATGGACACAACCCCCTGCTGTTCTGTGGGAAGCAGCACAGACTGCCTGCTGGTGGGATCCCACCGATCATCCCACCTGAACAGCTTTAGCCTGCTACCACCAGTCAGCCACCCTCTCTGCTGGCATAGATCCTTCAGAGAGGTCAACAAGGGGCCAAACAACCTTCCTCATTGTGCTGGGAACAGCCACCTACCCTACCTGCTGAGTCTGGTGGGGAAGCCCAGGCCTGAAGCTGCTGGATAAGAACAGACTGTGCCCCTTGAATAGCACAACTCCCCTTCTCCACTGGCATCAGCTCCATCTCCTCTTGAGGTGTTTTCACATCTCACTCACTGCTGCCTGGGACACTTCCATTTGTTGCAGCAAACAGCATGACTAAAGAATGTCATGGAGTCATGCCTGCATCTCCCCATTCCAACACAGCTCTGGCTCTTTCTAGAGGTTGCCAGCCATATCCCTGCACACTTGTGCAGTGTGTGCTGGAGGAAGCCCACCATGCTTGCTGAGCAGAGATGGTGTCACCACCTCCTTCCTTGTTCCTGGAAAAGCAACCTCAGGCAACCTCAGACCTGTTCTCAAGGTGAAGTCCTGCCTCCTGTGCCAAGCAGCATGCCTTTCTGGCCCACAGGACTTGGGGTTTCCCCCAGGAGTGTAGCACACGCAGCTTTTATCCCCACCATATCCCAGAAGGAAACTCATCTCTCCTTCCTCCGTCAGTAGCATCCCTTCTGTGTTACCCAACACATCTATCCTGGATCATGGGATTGAACTGCAGGCCCCATTTACTTGGCTAATTCCTCCCCATCTTCACACATTCCTAGGGTACAGGATCCTCTGGGCATTGCTGGGAATGAAGGAAAAGAGAAGCAATCAAGCTGCCCAGAGCAGTACCAGCTCCCTGCCCTGGAGTGCAGCACCCTTGCCAGATGGCACAGCCTCCCTGTGCCAGCCAGACTGCTTCAATTAAGGGCCAGCCGTTGGCAAGTAGTGTGAATTAAAGCCATTCTTCCATGCCCGCAGGTCCTTGAACGTGACCTAGTAATGCAGGTGCTATTTTCTTTCCTCCCATGACAGTCGGCTGACTTGCAGAGCTGATGCCCCGCAGGCAGGAGGGAAACATACGTCAGCCTAGCTGAGGCAGGAGTGTTTAGTAGCCATGGGAAAGGGTGCTCCAGAAACGCAGGAGGCAGCACGAGTGCAGCCCTGCTCTGAACTGCGCTAGTGTACAGCTGACATGTTCCAGCCACTCAGCTGGCTGCTCCTCTAACATACTCTTCCCTTTGCATGTTGATTTCCCTAGGGTCTGCTAACATCTGCAAACAACGGCCCTAAATACTTGGTCTTGCTTTCTGCACAAATCCTGTGGTCTGCTCCATCTCTGGAGTCTCAACAGCTACTGACAAGAGACTGCTGAGTCTCTCATATCACATCCACAGTGACTTTGCTCTGAAACCCTTCCTGGAAACAAAGTCCTTGACCAGCAAGTATGGCAGAGAGAAATCCCCTCTCCCTGAAAGCTTTCTAAGCCTTCCCCTTCTGACAGCCTGCCTTTGAGCACTGAAGCCATTTGTATATCTCTGCATAAAATGCCTTTACTCCCATTGTGGCTATCAAGTTGGTTTTGGCAAACCCCAGCCACCCACTGATCTTCTGGTTTTCTCCTCTAAGGGCCTGTAAATCAGCTCCTCTACTGTTATGAGCTATTAATCCAGATGTATGCCCTCAGAGAAACCCTCCCAGCGTCAGCCCGGCGTTTGCTGTCTCTCACTCTCTCCAGTTTCCACTCTGCCCACAGTACCACTACCGTGCTGGTGCTCTCGGCTCCATTTGGGCTAGAGCTTGCCGAGTCTGCGGGCACGGATCTGATTCCGCTGGGAGCGGGCAGAAAGCCAGCCCTGCTTCAGCGCAGGCAGGGCTCAGGACGCAAGAGGGAGAGCTGCAGGATGGGGCAGAACCCACCGGCAACATAAAAAATAAGGAACTTCCCCACTGGCAGGGAAAAGGGTGTAAGCGCCAGCGCTGGGACTTGCTGTCTCCAGCCCCCTCCACGAGAACAACTGTCTCTCCAACCTGGATCTTCCCAATATCCCCTAGCCCCTGGATCTTCCCAACATCCCCTAGCCCAGCTGGCCCCATGGCTGGCCCAGCGGCAACCAGGGACCGGCCCCTGTAGCTGCTGGGGCGGGAGCGAGCCCAGGACCCTTCCGCTGGGGCGCGCAGCCCAAGCACAGGAACTTTGAATCTCTGCACCGCCCAAGTCCCTTTCCCGGGGATCCGCTCTCCCGCTGGCGCGGACAGCCCTGCCCGTCGCCCCGTCCCCCGGACCCACACCCCGGCCCGGCCGCTTACCTTCACCCCAGCCCCAGGCCGGCCGCCGCGCCCCGCCGCGGTACCGGGAAAGTCCCGACCCGACTCCGCCTCCCGGGGCTTCCCGGACCCGGCTCCGCCCGGCGGAGACAGCGGGAGGGCGGGCCGGGGGACCCCCGAAGGGACGGGCATCTCCGGGCTGCTGCATTCCGGCGACATCGCCTATCCGCCGCCCGGCTGGCACTCGGGTCAGGGGAGCGAGCCCCGGGCCCATGGCTGTTCTCCGAGGTGGGGACAGGTCCCTTCACCCCATTGCCAAAGCCAGCTGCTACTCCAGCGGGGAAGGACCATCTGCCTCATCCGTGGCTGATTTTCATTTTTATTATTGTAAATTCACTGTTGTCTTTATATATATTTTTAAAAAATATATTAGATACAAAAGTCAGAAAGGCTTCTCTTTGAACTACATATACTGGTGGATTTACAGGCCGGTTTTGAAAAGGTGGGCAAATAGGAAAGCCCAACTTAATCAATGCGCACAGCAGCAGCAGCAGCAGCAGTAAATGCCCCTCTCCAGGGACAAGGGGATTTTATATATATATATGGATTATATATATATATATTTGTAGATCTGTACATACACACACAGGCATGCACACACAGCACTCATACCCCTCAACACTCCAACCCTGGGCTGTGCCTCAGCCCAAGGATGCTGCGGTTGAGCAGGATGGGCTCTTGCCAGGCAGGCACTGGCCAAGGCACCATAGGACGGATTTGGGAGTCCCAGAAGAATGGGGCACATGCTTCCTCTGTTCCCACTGAAGTGCTTCCCCTTTCCATGGCTGCACTCCCTGGGACACTCCCTGGCTGGCAGTGACACAGAGAGGAAGTTCACTGCTCTGCAGGCACGGTGCCTGCAGGACATCCCCCGTATGATGGTAAATTTGGAGACTCATTTCCCAAACTAGCTGGAAGCAGGGGAATGCTGTGACCAGGGAGGTGAAACCTGCCTCAGCAATTCTCAAAGCTGAAAAAATGTGAGGAAAGTCACTGACTGATGACATAGAAAGCCCTGAGCAGTGAGAGCCCTGGCGTGGGGGGGGGTGGTTAGCACAGTCCAGCTGGGGCTGGTGGAATCATCCTGCAGAATGAGACACCACCCAAACCTGGGAAGGCAGCAGGGAGATCCCCTGCTGCCATCCTCTCTGGGGTTGCAGACAGACTGGCAGTGCAGTCACTTCCCAAGGAAGGGAAAAGGCACTGTGTTTTTGGCTCCTCTGAGAGTCACAGTAGCCAGCTGGAAGGCTTGCTCAGCTGAACCTTGCCCCTGTGGAGGAGGGAAGAACATAGATCTTGTCCCCTTCCAGCATACCAGGCTTGTGTGGTGAAGAGAGGGTGAGTCCCCTGTTTCCCCACGTCCCTTACAGGAGGAAGCCTCTGTATGATTGCCTTCAGCAGCCCGACTCAGACCAGGCTACCCCAGAGGCTCAGGGGCAGATCCTGCCTCTGCTGATAGCACCAGGCTGGCATCCCCACACCCTAGCAGTGACCCCAAACCCTGTGGGCAGAGAGAAGACAGCTCTTAGAGGGGCAGCAGCTGCCAGAGGTGCGCTGGACACAGCCCCTGCTGAGAGTGGAGGGCACTGCAGACCCACGTGTACGCACACACACACACACACACACACACTGCAGCGGGGTTTTCAGAAATATTCAAGGTGGGGAGTCACAGTCAGAGCCCAGTTTGGGGTCTCCACTGTGGGCTGCCTCCTGTGGGGGTCAGGCCATAGCCAGGCCCTCCACATGGCTGTGGATGTGGGCCATACTGGACAGGCTGCTCTCGCCTTTGTAACTTTTAGGAGCCCGGCTGGCTTTCAGCAGGACCAAGAAGGTGTCTGTGGAGATGGCCCCAAACTCAAAGGTGAACGTGCCGTAGAAAACCAGGACATCAATGATGAACATCCACTCACACAAGGCAGCCACGTGCTGTAGCACAAAGCTCTCCTGGATGAAGAACACACCACCTGAGGGTATCCCAGTCAAGGAAAGTACTGCTGAACCCCAACCATCCCACGGAGGACCATGTCCACCTGTTACTGCATGCTGGAGTGGACATGAGTACCCATCCTCTGGAGGAAACACATCACCACTCCTAACACTGAAAAACCCCCACATGCTTCTCCCAGCACAGGAGGGCCCTGGCACGGGTGAAGCAGTGGCACACATGCCCAAAACAGCCTTGGTAAATCATGGCACTGATGCCAGGCTGGGATTATCTGAAGAGGTCAGGGCAGGAGGAGCTCAGGCTGCAGGTCTCAGTGCACACCAGGTGCCCAGATGCCTCAACGTACCCACACTCCTGGCACTTCCTCAAGCTAGGCTGGTGGTCCCCATTTTCCCACAGGATACAGTAAAAGATGAAAAACTCACTTTGAAACAGGGTTTGGACTGTTGCATCTCAGTCCCACAGCACCTCCTGTCCTTCTGTGCTGCAGGCTGGCCCACCTCAGAGAGGGGGCTTGCTCCCACTTCTCCAGAACATACTACTAGCAGAATTTCTTCATCTTTCTCTCATCCCCACCAAAAATTTCCAGGGAAACCTATTGCAAGAGCTACTGCAGGTGAGGGGAGGGGGCATGTACATCCCCCAGCCCTCCATGTGAAGCCTGCAGCAGCACCACGCCTTCTGCAAGTGAGACTAAGATCTGGGAGAGCTGGGACCTGACCTCTACAGTGTAGAGCCCTCTGCTCACTCCCCCCCATCCCATCAGGAAAGATCCCAGCCCTTTCCCCACACTGTGTACACCACAGCTCGCTGCTTGCCCACTGCCAGTTCCCAGAGCTTACAGAGCAAGATAGCCGCAGCAGATGGGCATCAGTCCTGTCTTCCTTGTCCTTACATGCCCTTCCTGTCCCTCCCAGCTGGCATGGCCCTGCGGCAGTCCTGCCTTTCCCAGCTCCCTGCCTGCTGTGGTGACAGAGCAGGACCCCCTAACATGTGCCAGACCCACCAGCACCCCCAGGCTCCTCTTGTGCTGCTTGCCTCAGCCAGACCCCAGCCAGCCTCCTTGGGATCCATGGACACTGCACGTCCTCTTTTCCCCTTCCTGCCCAATAGCTTCTACTTTGTTTCCCAATTTATCCCTAACCTCAGTCCCAAATAAGCTCCTCACTCCCCAGCCACACACTCGGGACCATTCTTTGAGCTCCAGCCTACCTGACGCCATGCCCTCCTTCCCTGGTAAAGTGTTTGCAGACCCCAGTACCTGCTCACCAAGCCCTTCCATGTCCCATGGGCAGCTTGGCTGATGAGTGCCCAGAAGTTCTGGCTGGCAGAGGTGCTGCCATGCACTCACCTGGCACCCGCACACAGCTCTTTTGTACTCAGCTTCAGTCAGAGAGGTAACCCAGATGGACTTTGCATTGCCAAGGGCTCAAAATACCTTTGTCTCATTAAAAAAAACCAACAATTAACCAGACCTGGGTGTTGTGTGACCAGAGCCTGCAGCGGTGGCTGGGCTGCAGCAGCCAGGGCAGGGCTGGTTTGGGGCATCCCAGCACCCCAAGAGACACCCACCAGCATTCCCTTCCCCTCCTCAACCCCTGCCCAGCCCTGGTACTGCTGCTCCTCCAGCCTACACCTGCAGTGAGCTGCCCACCCTCAGTGCCCTGCCCATCTCCTCTCCTGGCACCATGCCTCACTCCCAGACCAAAAAATAGAGATTATGGGGCACATACCCCATCGTGAGTACCACTTTTCACCAGCCTATTCCCAATCTTCTTCCCACACCCTTCAGGATACTGAAGACAAGGGTGAAGAAGGCCACAGTGGTGAGGATGCTACGTAAGTGGCCGGTCCAGTACTGCCCTCGGGTTTTGGCCATGCGGTAGGTGAGGATGGACTGCAGGAGCAGGAACAGCATGCTGGTGGGAAAGGCCACCCCAGCCCCAATGTAGTGTAGCACCTTGGCGTGATCCACCTGTGGGGAAGAGACCATCAGTGTCAACACCCTGGGACACTGCCTATCACAGCATGACTCTGCTCCAGGAGTTGGACTCCTGCCCAGGAAGGGGTGCAGACAGTGCCAGGAACAGGTCCAGGCAGCTCAACCTGTGCCTGACTCCTTGCTGAAAAACAGACTTGGATCCAACATCTACTGCTGGGATCTCAAAGAGCTCTGTTCCTTTAATCCATGGGCCAGCAGCCCTGCTGTGCCCAGGGGCAGGGGCTGCCCTCTGCCCTGAGCAGCATCAGGGACTGCCTGCACCCTCCTGAGAGTCACAGCCCAGCGTTGCTCACCACGGCTGGGGCACCAGGGAGATTGGGGCCTGCAAAGCTTCTCCCAGAGCTGGTGTGGGCAGCAGCCTCCTGCCAAGCAGGAGGGACTGGCTGCTGCAGGCAGCTGTGGGGAGGCTGGTGCCTGGCAGTGCAGGCAGGGGCTGAGCACTGCCATGTGCTGCCAAGCCTGGGCCCGCTCTGGTCCCTGTGAGCACAGGCTCTGCCCCAACAGTTTCCCGCTGTCATCCCCTGGGCAGGATCAGGAGCAGCCTGAACAGCATGTCCCTGCCCCTGCATGTGCCCATGGAGAGGACAGACAGTGCAGAGGGGGTTCCGGTAAGCATTAAACCAAACCCAGCAGCTTAATCTGGACTTGAATTATGAATACACAAAGAGGACTTCCAGCACCCTGGGAAGCACAGCACTGACCCAGGGGAAGGGAAGGACTGCATGCATGGGATGCTGGACCAAAACCACCACCACAAACCCTACCCTGCTGAGCACAGCCATTGCCCTGCTCCAAGGCCCTCTCCTGCCCCCCTACCCCAGGGACACCTGAGGAAATGCCTTACCTGAAAGTTGCCAACCATGGTGAGGCCAGCAGCGCAGACCCAGCCAGTGGCCAGCCCCAGGGTGTTGAGGAGGGATGGCCCCAGGCGCTCCAGGAGGTGGGCATAGCGCAGCAGTCCCACCAGGATGACTGAGGGAGGCAAACACAGCCCTGTCACATGCTGCTGTCTGCAGCCCCCTCATCCCACTGCTGCCCCATGCCAAGTGGGTGCAGGGCAGCCTCTCCCAGCCCCGCTTCCCCAGCAGAACTTACCCATGAAGGAGCCCAGGCTGCAGATGAGGCTGAAGAAGCAGCTCTCGGGAGGCAGGGTGCCACACTTGCTATGGGGACAAACAAGACCCATGGAGCCCTCAGACAGGGGGCACTGGGGTGTGTGCTTGGCTCCCTCCCCAGGACACTCTCCTGGGCTGCCCTGGAGGGGCCTCAGTGCAGCTCTGCCCGTGCTCCCACCCTGAGGTGCTCACCTGACAAGGGGGATGTGATCCAGTGTGCAGCAGGAGCTGGGGCCGTCCATGTCACATGACTGGTTGTAAGTCCTGCCAGCAGCAAAGGGACACGTTAGGAGAGCAGAGATGCTGCCCAGGACCCTGCTGTCTCCTGCCCACAGGCCTTGCAAGGGCAGTCGAGTTGCTCTGTAGTGAGTGCAGCCTAAACCCAGAGATGTGCCCACACTCTCCAGGGAGTGACCCACTGCCCAACAGGTAGCATCACACCTGTGTTTCCACAGCCTGTTCCCTGCCTGCTGGCTCTGCTGCTCACCCAGGCCCTCAGCCTGTGAGGGAGAGGCCACGGCAGGGCAGAGGCTGCACGGGCAGGGGTGTGGCTCAGGGGGTTCTGGCAGCCCCACACCCAGACAGGAGCAGGAGCACCCACCTACCAGCCCCCTCACATATTCCCAGGATGGAAGCACCAGCAAAGCCAGGCATAAAAACAGTGACAGCTCCAGGTTTGCAGGGAATGGGTTGGAATGCTGAGCTGTTTGGGAAATGCCACAACCACAGGCACCCCCGGAGCAGTGCCACCTCACCTGGGAGGGAGGCAGGGAGGGAGCCGGGAGACATTGCCTGAGGGGCATGACCAGAGGCAGTCCCCAGGCTGCCCTGGAGCCAGGCACACCAGCAGTGCACCCAGGGTAGTCCCAGAACTGCTGGGCTGGGCTCTGCTGCCAGCACCCACTGCAGTGCCCTGGGAGCACCTCCTGTACCCACAGACCCCATGAGTCCAGGCACCTCAAGTCTTACCAGCCCCTCTCGTACCAGAGAAGCTGCCTGCAACTCTAACCAAACTCCCACTGCAGGGGCTCATGTGCCCTCACCCCCACAGCTCTCTCAGGAGCTGGCACACACTGGAAGTAGGTTTTTGGGTGCCTCTTTGCTTCAGCATCACCCAGGCATCCAGCACCTCTGCCTGGCATGGCCTAGTGGGACACCCTGCTCACACAAGAGGCAGTAAGTGCAAAGTTCTCTGCCTCAAAGCGCCCCTTCAGACACCTCAAGCCCCATGTTGGGGGGGGGGGGGACTGAGCGGGGGGGAGCTGTGGGGGGACAGTGCTGGCCTGTCCCTCGCCCAGGCTGTCCATCCACCACCTCCATCTATGCAGCAAGCACATGGTTAAAAAAGCCTTTTTGGAAAGGGCTGGGCTGAGCTCTGATGTTTTTTCAGTCTCCTCATTTTACTGGTGGCTTTGTTTTCCAACCACTAAACCCAGGCGAGGCGTGGAGCCCCACGGCCTCCTCAAAGGCTGCTCTTGGGGCTGTGTTTGGTTTGGGAAGGTTTTTTTTATTATTATTTTGTTTAAAGCAAGCAGCCCAAGGCCGGGAAGCATTATTCGTCATTAAGGGCTGGCTGTGCGGCACAGACAACCCGACACACACATTCTTCCCAGGGCAGAATCAGCCATCAGGCAGGAAATGGCAGCAGGTTTTTTTTTTTTCACTTCTTCAAACACTCCAGTAAGAATTAAACTAACATGGATCTTTCTGGGCAGATTTTTAAGGCGACGCTACAAGCCAAAAACTCTGCAGAAGGAGTTGCCAAGAGACCAAAGTGTTTCTTTTCCCAGCCCTTGTCTCTTCCATGCCTCATCCCCCATTTGGGGGTGTTACAGGCAGCTCTGCCCATGGGGTGTCCCGGTGCTGGAGGACCATCCCATTCCCCTGGCACTGCCAGATTTAGCCTCCAGCAAGCAAGTCACAGCCTTTTCCATGGAGACATAGCCCTCTGTAATTCCCTGACCACTTGTTTTCATACTTTCTCCATGCTGTGTTTTTTCAATGGCCTCCTTCTTGCTGCCTGGTTTGCAGTGAGGCTGGACTGTTCACCAGAGCAGCCATTACCACAGAGAAGCCTGGCAGGGAGGGAGGGCAACCCAGCCCCGACAGCAGCTCAGCCCCAACCTGTTCTGCTCAAAAAAGCCACTCTCCTGGGCACGAGGCATTTGCACCCCATCACCACCATGTGAGCTGGGGAAAAAGGTGGCTCTGTGCCCCTCTAATGCTCCCACCTCTTCCATCATCCCCAACAGCCCTGCAGTACAGTCATGGTGCAGGGAGTGCCTCAGCTACCCAGTGGTCTGGCACAGCCTGGCATACTTCAAGTGGCACAGGTATGGAGGGACTTGTGGGTCTTTAATCAAGCCAGGATGTGCCAAAAAGCCCCTGCTTCCCCCCCAGGCCTTACCAGTTGTGGACAGGGCAGATGTGGTTGTTGGACAGTGCCATGGCATATCTGGAGGAGAGACAACAACACGGTTACCACAGCCACCTGCCTCCCTGCATCTCCATTCCCTGCCAGCACCCAGAGCAGAAGAAACAGCCCTTACTGCCTGCCAGCGGCCAGCACACATCCTTTGTGTAAAGCCAGCATCTCCCGGCTTTACAAAGCAGGAAAAAGAAAAACAACTACATGAGCACATGCTCTGCGGAACTCTCACTGCTGGGACCAGGTTCCCCTGCCTTGTACCCCAATCCCTGCTGAGAGCCACCTCCTGCTCCAGTTCAGTGCAGCTGCTTCTGTGGGGCCTCTTCTCCATCGTCCTGCTGTGCTCCACGGGCTCTGGGCGACTGCTCTGTCACACAGCTTCCCTGGCATGCCCTGGCATTGGGGCTCTCCACCAGCCTACAGCTGTGCCAGGTGCCACCCAATGACACTGGCTCTGCCGTGCTTCCCCCAGTCCCAGTGGAGCTAAAAGAAGTCTGGAAAAGTAGCCAGCTGAATGGGAGGGCATTATGGGCAGAACAAGTCCATCAAGCATTCACTGTGAAGTCACCCTTGTGTCTCAGTCAGTGTAACAAGGAGTTCATGATATACATCCTGCTCCACTCCAAGGGCTCTCAGCCCCATGGCCCCCACCCCAGCCATCGAGGAGCCCTCCTGCCCAGCAGCCACAGCAGTGGGCAGTACCCTGCTGTTCAAATCACTGGCGGCTGTGAACGCTCAGGTTAAAAATACACAACACCAGTATGAAAACTCCTCTCCTTCCCGAGCTGGCCACGCAACAGCTGGCTGCAAAAAAGATGATCCCAGACCAGAGGCAAAGAACAGGACAGGTGGGGGAAACCAAGGAACAGCACCACCAGACACCAAGGAGCAGACCCCTCACCGAGCCATCTCCCAGCACAGATCTCCAAAAGGGCCACTCCCAGAGCAGCTCAAGCTGTGAGGACCATAAGCAGCAACTCCCACCTGTGCTGCTTTAGTTTGGAGGGGTATCTGCCCCCCAGGGTCACTCACGAGAGACAGCCCATGCTTTGCAAGGTGTCCGAGGAAAAAACTTGGAGCATAAGTTCCTAGAACCAGGTTCAACATTCAGCTTTGTTGTGAAGTAAGACAGGCGATACCTCAGGGGGAAGCTCTTGGAGGAACTTTTATGTGTATGGGATGCATTTGCTCCACCCCACCCCAGGAAGTCCCACCACCTATATTGAACCTCTGGTGACTTTGAGAAAAGTCTTTCAATCACTGCTCACTAGTGTTAAGGCCTGAGAACGGGACTGCTGGGATGGACCAGTATTGTTCACCCAAGTGACACAGCCTCTACTCCTGGCAAAAGGCCCTTCCACCCATCCAGCACATGGGGTGGATGCCCATGTACGCACTACAGCCCTGGCACTGCAGTGCCTGGGCTGGTGGCGTGGCTCCCGATGCCGCTCCCGTGCCACCTGAACGTCAGCCGCAGCCACGCCGGGACAGGGCACGCGATTCCGCAGGGTGTCAGGGATATAAGGACATGGAAGCACATTCCAGTGCTGCTGCAGGGGACACGGGGCCCACGCACGGCGGGTTCAGGGAGGTGTGGGAGTCCCTGAGTGTCCAGAAGTGCCCCAACAAGACCGGGGACAGCGGCTCCCCGCAACCTCCTGCCCGCTGCATCCCACCTCGCAGCATCCCATTCTAAAGCATCCTCCAACCCCCGGCCCTCAGTTAACCCGCAGCATCCGGCCCCAACGCGCGTGGGTGGGCGGCTGGCGGCGACCCCGCGGCACTCACACGATCCACATGCCGGTGATGGTGAAGGCAGGCAGCGTGATGGGCAAGATCCCCCAGGCCGGCATCCTGGGGCCGGGCATGCCCCGCCGGGCTACGGGCGAGCGGGGCCGCCAGGGGAACCTCCCCGCTGCCTCCTGCTGCCGGGCCGCCGCCGGGCCGCGCTCCCCATGGGCAACGGGGCCGGGGCCGGGGCCGGGCTCGGGCTGGCGGGCGGAGCGGGTCCGGCCGTGCGGAGCGGCGCCGGGACAGCCCAGGCCGGCCCCGCCCCGGGGCAGCGCGGGTCCCGCTCGGCGGCAGGGCCGGGCCCGCCCCGTCCGGCGGCAGCGGGGAGCGGGCCGGGCCGGCGCGGCCCTCGGCGCCACGTGGCGCCCGCGCTGGCGGCCCGGGGCAGCGGGACAGTGCCGGGGAGGGCAGCCGGGGAGCAGGACGGCACAGAGCCGGGAGCGCCGGGCTCAGCGGGACGGGCGGCCCCACAGCGCGCTCGGCTGAGCCGCAGCGAGGGACAGGCACAGCTCAGCAGCCAACACCCCGTCCGAGAGCTTTTGCCAAGGCTGAGTCGGGCATCGACAGCCGGCTGCAGAGCTGGGGGCCTCACCCCCCTCAGCTCCAGGTGATGCCGTTTCTGCCTGAACACCAGCCCTGAGCCCGTATCTGCTAAAGTGAGGGCTCCCATAAGAGTGGCCCAAAAGGCACTGCCAGGCAGAGAAGACCTTGTTGAGGTCACTCCTGAGGACAAGGCTGTGTTTGCACGCCAGGAGTGACTGACTCTGTGCTCTCACTAAATGGCTGCAGCCACACTGCCAGCCACTGCCTGTGCACACCGGTTACCCTGAGTTACCCTGACCTCTCTGTTCCCAGACGCTTTCTGTTACTAGGGATTAAGTTTAGCAGCCAACCACCAACGCTGCTGCCCAGAGAACTTTCCATTTTTCACAGAAAACGTGAGGAAAGTAAGCACAACTTCCCCTGGCACAGAAGCAGGACTGTGGTAAGGCCACAGCTGTCCCATTTCCCTTTTGGGAACTCAGCAATAACTTGCCCTCTTGCTCCGTGGCTACTTGTGGGGATATGTTTTCAAGTCCCAAAACAACCTGCATCGCCAAGGGCTGTGCACACCCGTGGAGCACAGAACACCCGGTGCTCATAGAGCTTGCACTTTGCCCTCTGCCCTCTGCAGAGAGGATCTGCCCAGGTACAGCTCTGGCCCTGGCCCGTGCGGGAGAGGAGCCCTGGCTGCCCAGCCCCTCCCCGGGCCAGGGGGCTGGTTACACAACCACGGGAGCAGTACTGCACACTGGGACTTGTAGTCTTGGGGGATCTCATGGCCCTCTGCGTTTAACTGCTCTCCAAGCAGCCTCCTCACAGGCCCAGGGTCTATCCTTGCATTTCAGCCCATCAGTTCAGGGCAAGAATTGCACTGCAGGACTTTGCTCCCGAGCTGGTTGTGGTCTCAAAGCTGCCCTGTGCATTCCTGTCCGGCAGCAGGCCTGGCCCTCCCTCTCCCAGCGGCCTCCACACCACATGGACAGTGGGAACAGCGCCCGCTGCACCGGGGCTGCTGCCTCCAGCAGCCTTGGCACGGCTCGCATCACTCCAGGGCCACAGGCAAGCAGCACAAGCCCTGCTGGGCTCCCCTGCTGCCCAGCTGGGCTGAAAATGCCGAGCATGGTGGCTTCAGAACACATCAGCCTCTGTAACAGGAATACATTTTTCCAGAGGAGTTCAATAGTTGGCCATTATAGGACTGAGGGCAACTGCTAAAAAAGCCAGCTCACTGTTGATACTTCTTGGAAATCTTTCTTCCAGACGGTTTGAGTATGCTCAGATCCAGTTTTTAAATTGAGACTAAAAGCAGCAGTGCTTCTGTTTCACAAGTTTCAGTGCCAAATGTATGTTTGGTACAGCCAGGACTTATCATTCCATAGAATTTCTCACACTAGTAAGCGTCATACCAATGAGGAAAACACCAGCTCTACAGTAAAGTGTTCTACAGGCACATGCTAAATCCCAGTACATATTTCTATTCTGCTTTAGCAGTAGAAGTCCTTGACAAAAATGGCAACAGAAGAAGCAGGTAAATCCAAAACACAGTGATGTCTGTTCAGCCTTCTCTGGAAAATATTTAGTCAGATCCTGAGTAAAAATGAGAAAGAAGTCCAAGACTAGAAAAAGTATATGCTAGGACAAATCTAAGGGGTACTGTTGTAAACACCGCTCCTCACCAGCAGCCATTAGTAGTATGACTGGCTTTTATGTAATTTAGCTTACAGAGTTCAAGAGACTTACTGATAAACATATCAGGTAGCACATGCTACCTGACAGTTGATTCTGATCTCCTTTCAGTTCAGCACTTTTCCTGATTTTTTTTTTCTCTTCAACATTAAACCTAACTCTTGCAAAATCCAAACAACATTCAAAAAATTATTTTTCTGGTTTTTCAGTCCATTCCTATTTACAGTCTAGTGAAAACTGTTTAAAGTGCAATTCTGTCTTTCCAGCCAACATTCCTTCCATTCTAGTTCCACTTCCTGCAGCCCTCTCGGGTGGCTTTTGCTTTGCACCATAATTGTCTGAGTTAAGATGTAATGGTCTCAGTAGAAGCTGAGTTTTGCAAACATAGGCTAAAACATAGCATGCACCCAAAACAGCTATCTGAAGGCAGCTGACAAAATGGAGCTTTGCTATTAGCTGACACCACCCCAAAAAGTCAGAGGACCACCTGGGGATCAGAGGGCAGCAGTCCTGATATTGAGGCACTTGACAACTGAGCAATGGTTTACAAAGAGTTAATCATCTAAAGCTTTCAACAAGCAGAAAAATAGAGCTGTAAATTGAAGTGAAGGCTCAGAAAGACAAGAGGAGGGCTGGATACAGAAGCACCACGAGCAGCACAAGGACTCAAAATACATTAATGAAAACATCTAAGGGCTGGAAAGACACAATCTACAGGCAGTGGAGGGTGAGGAAGAGACAGCTGCAGCAGTGAAAATATTCCAGGAATGGTAGAAATGGGGTTAGGGAACCAGGATTTATTAACAAGACTTTCCTAGTACGCACATTACTCTTCCGTTATGCAATATTTAGACCTTTTCTCATGCAATTCAAATATACTCCCAAGTTTTTAACCCCTTTACCAATCTGTAGGAGTCTCTTGGAATAGGGAAGGTACTGATGCCTCGCATGGCTCTGACGACACTGTAGCACTGCGTGGATCTTGCCATGAAACAAAGTAGAAAATACCAGGAGGGAAGTGTAGTTGTTCGAATCCATGGCAAGCACTAGGCCTGGAAGAGCCAGGCATCTCTCATGCCCTCTCCAACTCTGAGTCCTGTCCATGGAAACAAGGATTTCTTCTTCATCCAAGAATCACCAATGTCACCTGAGTTGTAACCGAGGTCTATGTTCTGGCACCTTGACCAGATGAGCAAAGCCTCTGCTTCCTCTGCCCTCAGTCCTCAGTCAGGTGGTGCATGAGCATGTACCAATATAACACCAGAAATTTTACAGCCCACGTGAAACTACTGCTTTCTGAAAGAGCCAATCTTTCTATTACAGCTCTGCTTTGTCCATGATGGGAACCATTCCTGATTAGCCTTGATGGCTAACCTCCACTGCAGCCCCCCACCCACCTCCAAGCTGACAAGTCCCCTGTGCTCCCTCCAGACAGAGCACTCTGTTGAAGGACTTTGGTATATGAAGCCAGGGCACACCACTTTGACAAGTAAACTCCGTTTTTTCCAAAGCTCTGAGCCAAAGCTCCATGACAGAAAAGGAGTGCAACACCAGAACATTCATTTACAGGATGTATATTTATTACACTGTAAAAAGTCCATTGGATTTGTAGCCATTTACTCTGTATGTACACTGGTTGTATTTCCACACCAACTGCAGGTTCCTCTCTTTACAGGATACACTGGGTTGGAGTCCCACCCATGCCCCTCCCAGTCACCAGGGGGATTTCCAAGATTGAAATTACTGAGAATTTAGCCAACTAGTCGAGGGAGGAGGATCAGCGATGCAGTGCTTGCCAGGCAGCCAGCTCTGCTCTGGACATGAGCAGGCGGAAGAGCGGGATGTCCTTGTGGCAAGATGGAAGCACAAGAATCACTGCCAGGGCCTCAGCTGCAGGGGCTTTCTGTGGGTAGAAGGACATGGGATCCCAACAAGAAGATGCAGAAGGATGTGATCTCTTCAGAGCTTCCAAGAGAAACTACTGCAGACCTGCTGGGCATCTGTCAGCAGCTGCCACGGATCCCCACATCTGTAGCTGAAGAGGATGTTCTCCTAAGGAGGGGCAGGTCACCAAGAGACCAATGTGCAGCGAGTGGCAAACAACACGATTGCCTCACAAGTGCTGTGTGAGACATGGCCATGGTGCTCTGCTCTCAGCATTTCTTTCTCATCTACTCAGCTAGGCAGAGCCTTCTGGATTTGCCTTCTCCAACGAGAAGAAAGCCTGATTACACTTACAGAAGCAGGGATGAAAGCCCCTATCAGACTCGCCTGCTGCTTAATCTGTATCTGGCTTGGGGATGGATTGCTGTCATCTGTGTTGGAGGAAGGAAAGCATGTGCCAGCAGGCAAGAAGCCCTATGTAGCAATCTGTGAGCTGCACTGTAAGCAATCCACATTTCTAATAAAATTCTCTACCTGCTGAATCCAGGCATGCCCAGATCCCAAAGAAAGCAGTGCAACCAGAAGAGTCAGCAGGAAAGCTAGGGAATGGCTGGGGAATTGCCCAGGGACTGGACTGAGTAATCTTGAGAGGCAGTCCTGTACTGCAGCCCCTTTCTGGTGTGACATCAACAAGTTTTCCCTCTTTACCAGATGAACTGGTGGCAGCTTGGTCCCAGGCTGCTGGGCACGGGCATTGCCTGGCCCCTGAGATTGCAAAGGCAGGAGGGAGACTGGTCAGTGGAACTGAGTACTCCTCCATGGAGACAAGGATTTTTGGGCAGATTTCTAGGTGATGCCACAAGAAGGGAGCAGGATGGGACATGCTCCAGAGGACTGTGGCAACAGCCCCTCTGCTCAGATTAGCATAATCTTTTAAAACAAACATGCCCACTACCAGAGAACATTTGGCCAGCATCCTCCACCCACAGCGCCTCCTCAGCAGACAGTTCTCCGACACCCTCCAACTAATTGACTTCAGAGCTTGTCATAGGGTCAGTGGGTCGTGGAGTAGCTAAGAGGGGAACAGGAGAGGTGGCTTCAATTAGGGCTGGGTTGAGAATGATTGGAAGAGTCATAGGTGGCACCCCGACCTGCAGCGGAGAGGCAAGAGGCTGCAGGATGAGCGGCGGCTGTGCTGTTGTAGGAGGTATGTCTGTAACGGGGCTTGACTTTGTTGAAGCTGATGCTGGGAAGGAAGGAGAGACAGAGGTGCTGATGGTGGGTGAGGCAGCTGCAGTGGCTCTCTCAGACTCTGGAAGAAGGAAGAGAAAAGAGATCCTTACACAGGTCCTGACAAAGTCACGTATTAGCTCAAAACTAAGCAGGGCTGAAAATCAACTCACTGGCCTTTTCAGACTTACCATTTCATACAAGGCCCGGAAGACCAGGGGTCAATCATAGGCATTCTGCACACCCCAATAACCTCTACAACAACTTATCCATAGGGAAGCACAACATTTCACAACAACGGAGGCCTGGTCACCAGAGACCATGCTAAAGCAAGGGAAAGCAGATCTATGCCACCATGCTGGTAAAGTGATTCCAGAAAAAAGAAAACAGGACTCACCACTGACACTCGGTTCAGAAGGCTTCTCCAAAGGAACCACATGAGTGGATGGTCTCACATCCCCTACAGGAGAAGGGGGCAGGGCAGACACTATTGTTTTCTGATGCTGCTGCTCCACTGGTATGTTGGGAACTGGATCTGGGAAGACAAAACATGCAGTCAGACCACACACCAGTTTGCTCACTCCTTCACCCTCCCTCAATTTGTCCTTGTGCCAAGTTCCCACAGCCTCCTACAACTCATTTCATCAGCATCAAGGCACTATGGCAGGTAGGTACTGGAAAAGGTGCAAGCACTGGTCCAAAACCTGTGCTCTTAAGGTTTCCCAGCCTCTCGTACCTTGGATGACTGTCTGTTTGAAGAGCTCATCCCGCAGCCGAGGTAAGAAACAGTCAATGCGCTCCCAGGTGATCTCCCAGAGATCTGAGTATCCTGTCCGTGAGTCAGCACTGTGGAATATCCCAGCCGTATCCATGACGAGCAGCATATTCTTCAGAGACTCTGGAATGGCCTCCAGCTATAATCAGAAACATGACACAGAAGGGACAGATAGTAATGAACCAAAGCTCAAAACAGCCAATGGGCTGCCTTGGAAACTGTGGCCAGGGCAAGAAACTATGGAACTAAATGGTTTAGAAAGGAATAAAAAGTTAAAAAAACCCAAAAACCCACACCAAATCAAAACACCTTTCAAGTTTAGAAGGTTGAAACACGATGAACGGTTGCCCAAAGGACTGCATCCAGCACCTTACCAGTAAGTCACTGGAGCCAGCATGCATGTATTTGTCCATAAAGTCCAGGATTGTAAGCCACAGGGCAGCAAAAGTGGTCAGTGAGAGCAGTGGGGAGAGATGCTGTAGGAACACCTGGGAAAAAAGACACACCTACCGTCAATAAGTTGTATAGGGGCTGCTGCTTACTGACAAGCCAGTCTCACAAACCTGAATTCCCCCTCCTTGTGGCAGGTTGGGAACATGCACAGGACTGGCCTGAGGATGCCACAGGCCTCCACTCTTCTGAGATGCATATGTGAAGGAGTGGATCTTGCCTCCTTTGTGGAAGGCCTCTGCAGTCTGCATCATCATGTCTTCTAGCCCTTCCAGACCTCTGCCTCAGGTCATGACTATCAGCTTGTGACATGCATCATTCCACCCCAAGAATAAACTGTCTTCAACTAATGTTGAGTGAAATACTTCTCTCTCTCTATCATAGTCACAAACCTCTTCCTGACAACTTTTCCAAGGACTAGAATCATGGAGACAGTTCTGGAAAGAAGACATGTCCCAGCAGCAGAAGCTGGTGAAAAAGCCCAGCACTGAAGACAGTCAACTAGCATCTGACACCTGTCCAGATCAGAGATTCTGAGAAGTGAACATAGCAAACAGTTTGGTTTTCTTGAGGAACATGTTTTCCCCTAAGCTTTCAGGCAGCAGAGAGGTGTGCTCACCTTGGAAAGTAGTGTTGAGGCTCTCATCCTAGTTTCTTCCATCCCACCAACATCAGCTGGGCTGATGTTCTCGAGTAGCTTGGTTAGCAGAGGGAACAACACCTGTTGGATCAGACACATGGATATTTTAGAGCTGAAAAATGACTGATGAGATTTTCACAGACAGCCTTGCAGAAAGGCACTGGCTTTTGGAACTGGTGGCTTCTAGGCAGAGGACATGACAGAAGCAATGGGATGTGCACATGAGTAGATTCACTTCAGTACTCCGAAAGGCCCTGTCAGAAGCCTAAGCAGAGAGGAACTTTTTGCAGGACCAGAATATGGAACATCTTGTCTGTTGCAGTGAACAAGCTGCTCAAGAAGACAATGCTGAAGTAGGACAACACTCCTGCACACAGCTTTGCTCTTCATGACAATGCTGCCCTGCTCACATACCCATCCCAGCCAGGTGGTTACCTTGTTGAAACAGGACTCCCATTCCAGGGCATCCAAGGCCTGCAGGTCATGTACCAGGAGGGCCCGCTGCAAGTAAGTGAGTGCTTGCATTCGTATCTGGCGTCGGGCATCACAACACAGCCAGGCAATACCTGCAAGAGAGGGATTCAGGGCAAAGCCCACAGGGAGAGCGTCACATCCCTACTTCCCCAGTCTAAAGTAAAAAGTCTAGTGAAGATCAAAAATCCTCTGTGAAAAACAAAGGATTATATTTGTTCCAGGCCACAGACTGGCAGTCTACTACCAGATCCGGAAACATGCTGGCAAGCTAACTCATCCTAAAGATGTTTTTCCAAATCTGATGCAAGTTGTTTTTCAATTACAACAAAGCTAAAAACAACCTATGCCTGCTTTCTGCAGTTAGTTCTTGGCTCTTCAACTTCCCTGCCATTACTTTGGCAGTGTCTCTGCTCGCTCTCATCGCCAGGGGATGGCTTTACCCTGTAGCAAAGGACACCAGCAGTTGGACCACAGTGTTCGGGAATCCGCTGTGATTTTCCTGGCCGCTGTCTC